TTGGGTTCTTGAATTGACACCTTTGAATGGACTCTCATTTGCTTTGTATAATTGTCTTAGGCCTTCATGTTTTTTACTCTTTATTCGACTTATTTTGTTTATTTAGTTTCTATTCTTTTTGTTTGTCTTCTATTATGTTTACTGTTGTCTTTTATTTATTTGAATAATAATACGTTAGTATATGTTTTCGAATCGTGGAGTTATGAATATTGTAAATATCCTCAGGGAGGAAAAGAATGTATCTTAGAAGCGAACCAAGGATATTCCATTTTGATTTGATTTACATTTCATGCCTTTACTAAAGTGTTGATCCGACCGCCAGTGTTTTAACATCTCTTCGTTTTTCCTATTTTCCTTCTGCCATTATAAATTACACAGATATTTTGTAGAACCATAACTTCAATATATGCACAAATATTTCTTTCTCGAATTCAAGGGATTGAATAGAGTAAGAATAACACGATAGGTCGCTTTATTTACCCTCTCTGCATTTGGTACTTTCAAATACGTGACTCATTAAGTATGCTTTTTATTTGTCATGCACACGTGTGCGGAAACGCACCCATTTAGGTAGCACTGCTATTTTTCACACGGTTTATTTTCCCTCGATAACAATCTACATGCTTTAGTTACACACTTATCGCTTCTTAATGAGCCTTTTTCACTGACGTTCCTGTACTTTTCATCTTGGTGGTGCATTTCGATATCAACCTGATGCTGCTGGTGATATGATAGTTTCCGGGACCTATTGCATTTTCAACTTGAAGTTTGATTTACGATTATCACTGTAACGCGACACTGTGTATCTAGAGTGTCTTATTCATGCATTCTGGACGCTCCATAGTATTCATATCTGATGAAGACAGCCTCAAAGATTTTGGCACACAGTCCCCGTCACTCAGCTAGCGAACCAAATTGATTTTTGCAGTTCAGCACCTACGCAAAGTATCTTATACACAATATTCCTTTCGAAAAGCGCAGCCCAAGGTTCTAGTGAGGTTCTATCACAGTTAAGCCACGAGACTAGTTCCTTTTACTGACGCCAGTGGTAGCTTTGTACGATTGAAATACTTATATGTCCAGGGTCGAGAGAACTCGTCGTGGTCTTGATCTCCTACCATTTCGAACTAACGCTTGACTTTGCGAATTGATGCACCATAACCGCCCTTAGACCCATTGGTAAAGGATTACCCGATGCACTTACGTGTTATCTACTCCATCGAAACTTTACAAACGGGCACGATTACTATAGAAACACTCTTAGGCGATGACTCTGAGAGTGCAATGTAGGATATCCAACTGGCTGTTGTAACTGTACAGACTCTCACACGAGTCTTAGAATATCTACATGAAGCGCTCGATAGCTTGACTACGATGCACGCGCCGAGAAGCGGTGTCATGATAAAATGGCCTTTAATCGGGCCTTGATGACAAGCCAACTCGCAAGAACCAGCCATAGGAGAATAACCAGAATGAACTCACATTTATGATTAGTTGGTTTTGGGTGGATTTTGCTGATTTGCCATGACTTATGCGACAGCAGTGTAACACAGTTCACGTCTTCTGTTGTCGCTTCAGGGAGGCTCAACCTCACCTGACTGTGACACCGGAAGGAAGGGAATCTGGCAGGTCCTTATTGTCTGTACCCCCTATAGACGGCTTCATACGAAGCTGCACCACTACCGCATCTATTTTGCCGAGTAGGATGACCTCACCCATAACACACGATTTGCAGTTCCTGTGTGACCCCTTGCACCTCCTTTATCCTCAAGCTATGGAAGCGCGGATGGAGCCTGAGAGGGATGACCTCTGATTAAAAACAACATACAGATAGTATGCGCTCGTGTGTGTAAGGGGGATAAGCAGGGCGACCTTTACAAAACGTATCCACAGACAGTGTTTTTCCTTACCACCACAAAGAAATTTTGATGTATTGTTTTCAATTGTGTGGGTAACAATTATACTACTATGTTTTCCATCTACTAAACTTGTGAATGATTTGTACCGACAGGATGAGTATAACGTGTAATGGAAAATACACACAACGTAGAGATTTTTGTACACACGATTTAAAGGTATGTTCACATTTGCATTTCTGTGTGTTAGATGGATGCATACAGCTACACGCCTAATTGAGTCTTTTGTCTGTAAACGAAGAGAAAAAGGGCTAAGATTTTTAACAACAACAATAACAGCGAAAAATAAGCTACTTACTCATACACATATTTATGTTTGCATCAATGTAGTGAAAACGAGAATGAAATCCGAAACTACATTTTGATTGGGAAATAGAGAAACAGAGGAAAAGGCAAAACAAAAACGAATATAGAGGAGAAAACACAATACATACTTTCTCAACAAGACCTTGGAAGGAGGAGACAGGAGGGGACATAAAAGGAGGGGGAAGTGTATGTGTGGGAGTTGCAGTAGCTAAACCATTATTTATTTACCCTTGTACTTCTTTTTATTTTTACCAACCCCACGTGTTTTAGAAGGGCACACACATGAACTTGACATATTTACGACTTGTGCCCCGTGTATTATTTTTTTTCTAAGAAGCAACGATAGCGATTATTATTACTCCCTTACTCAAAATTGTTAACTGTTCCTTTTTACTATTCCGACATTTAAGCCTTTCACTACGCGTTTCCCCCGTCTACTGTACCTAGCTATGCATTCCGCTCCCTACAATCAACTCCATTTGTGTGTGTATGCCCATGCACATCGATACGATGAAAAATTAAACCCAAGTATATCCTGAATCTTAACATCGTACACCATATCACCCCTTTCTTCATTATTTTATTCGCTCACATCCACCCCTCTAAGTCTTATTCGTAGATGTGTGTAGCCCAAAAGGAAAAAAACGACACTAAGCAAAGAAAATATACTTTATAAACGATATGCATTTAAGAAAATAGAATGCCACTAAAAACAAGATGTATAACGTCATTTTGTCCTTCTTTTACTCATCACAGATTTTTCAGTACACGCATTCGGAAAAGACGATGATCAGGAACACAATTCCACGTATATTTGTAATGATTGCGTATTTATTGTTTTTCAGAACGATACTTTTCCCTTTCCCAAACGAATGAAAACATTGATATTTGTGCATCCTTAAAATTTTTTTTAATGAGAAGAGAAAAAGACCCTCAAAAATATCCACTCCAAAGGAAGCGAGAAATGATGTAGAACAGAGTCTTTTTTGGTGATAGTGCCCAGGGCCTTCTTAAAACTTCTACTCCCTTCTTTCATAGCAGGAAAAAATAAATAAATAGAAGAAGGGGTATTTTCAATTTGTCCATGCTTCTCTAAAGGAGCTATTTAAATATTTCTCTTTGAGACACAGATGTGAGGAATCAGTTGATGCGATGACATGTGGCGGCTTTCAAGAAATACATCACCTTTGTCTTTAAATTTTTCTCTTCTTTTCCGTTTTACCGTTACAATGAGATCGTCTGTCACGTGAGGATTTTCTACAAGTGCGACATGCAGAACCATCCAACTCTTCATTGTGAATTCATGACATTCAAACTGCACCTCTAGAATCCAATGCCAGAAATACATGGGCACACATGTGATGCTTATTTTCACGCTCAGTACTCTTTGTAACTGCGTGGGTGAAGTAGGCCACTCGTCGTGCCTCCTACCGCTTCGCTACTAGACAACAAATCAGGATTAAAGTCCGTGATCTCCTTCCAGAATGCCCTGCGCAGATCAAGTACACTCATCAGCATCCCCTCGTACGGCCACTGAAAGGGCTGCGGGCAGCTTGGCTCGTCATCTTCATCGTGTAAATGTGCAAGAAACGGATGCGCCAGCATTTCCACGGCACTCGGACGTTTAAGCGGATCCAGAGTCCACAGTTTGGCCAGAAAATCCATCCCATCCTTGCTGCTAGCAAGCCCTGGGACAAGTTTGGGAATGTTCAAGGAACCCTCTGGTAGCCCATTGAGCTTTTCGAGGGCATCCTTGTGTTCCACAATGCAGGCTGGTGGCTTGCCCACGTGCTGGGCGATCAGTCGTAGCTGATCCACAGTATTGCGCCCCGGGAAGACAGGCCTTCGATTGTACATCTCTGCAAAAATACACCCAACGGACCAGATATCGACAGCAGTAGTATAATTGGTGTTCTCTAAGAGCAGTTCCGGCGGTCGATACCAGCGGGTGATGACATAGTCTGTGAGATCAGCAAGCGGCACGTCTATGCTACGACTCAGGCCGAAGTCTATAAGCTTCAGATCACAGGATATATTCGTGACGAGATTCGCTGGCTTCAGGTCCCGGTGCGCGACGTTGGCGCTGTGTAAATACTTTAGACCCCGTAATGTTTGGTATACAAAATACTGCATGTGAGATTCCTCTAGAGTTTGACGTGACCGCAACACCACATTGAGGTCGACGTCCATAAGTGGCGTCACCACGTAAATATCTTTGAACTCGGTGAAGCTCCGTTTCATTGGTGGCAAGATGTCAATCACATTCAGCAAATTTTCGTGATTAAAAAAGCGCATCATGGCGACCTCACGCAAAACACGCTTGCCATCCTCAATATCTCGAAATATATCACGGCACTTTTTTATTGCTACCTTTTGCCCGGTCTCGTTATCCAGACAGCTGCAGGCGATGCCGTAGGCCCCCATACCTAGAATTTTCAAGACCGTGTACTTTAGCGGCACCTCAAAAGTCGAACCACTCACGTTGTATACCTTGAAGTTCCCAACGATCTGTGGGGTACTAAGTTCTTGACTACTCTTATGCATCAGCGGGAACGGGATGGGGTAAATATGGTATGGTATACGTCCGAAGCGATACACTGAAAGGGGTAAAAGGGGTGAAAAAAAATGGGAATATTGTACTACTTTTTGTTTGCTTTTCTCTTCCCTTCTGGTTCAGTTGAAGGAGAATGCGTGTGTGATGCTTTCTTTTCTTTTTTCTCCTTAGAGAAAGAAGTAAATAAATAAATGTCGAGAAGTGATTAGTTTAGTGAAGAGTGTGTATATTCTCACTGTTAGTCAGAAATACAAACTGCACATTCATGGAAAAGTTGAATGAGTGCGCATACGAACATGGAAGGTTATGTGGTCACACAAACAACAACAATAACAACAACATATAGATAAATATCTAGAGTAAGTTTTTTCCATTTTGCTGGTGGGGATCGAGAAAATTATTTGCTCGAAATGAATTCCATATTGGCGCATATTCACGTGCAAAAAAAACATTAATATGGATTCGGACCGTTCTCCTTCTGATTATCTTGTGACGTGCACACAACTTCAGAATGAATTTGCCGACTGGAAACTGGCGACCACACGCTGACCCTATCTGAGCTGGACGCATAACAGAAAGGAAGACGGGAGGAGAGAGGAGAGGAAGTAGATTTTTTTCGCAATTTCTTAGTATATCGTCTTTGTATATAGTTACCAACACCACCACCGCGTGTCTTGCATTTCTTTCCTATTTGACTTTCATAACTTTTCTGTCTTGAATAGCAAAGAGTGAGGCTTCAGTAAAGAACGTCAAAAGATTTCATATATTGTTCACATATCCTACGCGTTATCCTTGACAAAAAACTTATCTCAAGAGTGCCCACAAGAATTAGGTTAGTGAGCTTACAATTACATGCATCGCTTTATCAATCAGGGAAAAAATACATTGTTACTTGCACCTTTATTCAGTTTTCTAATTACTCTTATGAAAAGAGGTGGTAGTGAAGCGAACTAATGCAGAAATTCAGACTTAGGTCTAACATTGCTCCTATCGAAAATAGTCGCCATGCGAGACAAGATGTCCTCTACTGCAATAATCGAGCTTGATTTTTGGTGTAAAAAGCATGATTCCTTACTTCAGAGTTCAGAAATGGACATAGAAATAAAATTAAATACTATAGCTTCAGGCAGAACGCCCAGAAACCAAAGTTTTTAGTGGCTTTCCAGTATCCATCCCCAAAAATAAACAATCCAATGAAACAAGGAAAACAGTACCTTCAATCACGGTACCGAACAACGAATCTCCTACTCTATATTTAACTTATTCCATTTTGGGGAAAATAAGTATAATCTTATTGCTCATGATAATAATAACAGAGACTGCATATCGATACGGAGTTACCATGCGTATGCATTACCGGAACGAGATACGAAAGCTCTAGTAAATATGAAGTAGATTCCCCTCCCCCTTCTTCAGACACATGCACCCCCTAAAAAAGTACTAACGAAGAAAGCTTTATGAACGCAATGATGTGGACTGACTGAAGTAATGGAAGAGAGCCACAGCAGAGTATCTTGAGGATAGAGAACTATAGTCTTAAAAGCTCCTTTCTGCATCAAAAGAACACTTCCCCATACACTACTGAATAGAAGTATAGTAGATGCAATAATCTCAAAACTACCTTAAAAACTCTGTACAAACCACTTCAAAATGGATTGTATACCCCCCTCTACACGCTCACACAATGGTGAGTGATGTAGGAAAATATCGATAGTAAGAAAAGCATCATAAAAAAGATACTATTATGCTTGCAGGCTGTTTCTCCCTTGCCCCTTCTTCTGCATGATGACTGTATTCAAAACCTCCTCCTCACGATTTTGTCTCTGTTGAGACTGCCATTTGCTTTAGTGAAGACATGAACTTCTCAATCGACGCCTCATCTGTGTAGATAAGATTTGTGCAATCGTCCCCCGCACTCGCTGCCGGTCGATTAAGAGTCCCACCGCCAGCTTGGCTATAAGCTACCGAAGGGTTCACACGCGTCTTGATATGCCGCGCCTCGGAACCGTTTGCGTCTGTACGCGAAAAGCGTGGATACGGATAGCGCTGTGCCAGTGCCGCCTGTGCGTCCGCTTCAGGTGCTTCCAATAACCTGGCGAAGTGAGCGTAATCAGGGGTTTCGTGATATCCGGCTTGAATCCACTCGAATATTGTGGCACCCCACATGATATGGAGGTTAAAAAAAGCATCCATGAGAACAATGGCATCACTGCGCAGGCTGCTGCTGTCAAGTGGCACAGCCTTCGCGTAAGGAGCCTCCAAGTCGTAGCTATCCAAGGTAGGCTGGATCATGCGGACACAGTTATCGACTGGCTCACGCATCAGCCAGTGTCGCTTGAAGGTGGTCTCATCAGGAGAAATATTGATCACCATCATGTACTCTGATCGGCGCAAGTTGAACATAAACGACGGGAAGAGCGACAGACAGGGGCTCAGACGAAGAGAGTCAGGGAGGTTCGGCGTGTAGGTGCCGTAGCGCCGTACAAATTTAACGAGAAGGGTGTCCAACCAACGCTTCGTATCATCCCATTTTTTAGGGAACTTCTCAAGTATACAGATAAGCATGCGTGCGATGACAGTGGAGGCGCAGGTCTGGTCGAAGGCCTGGTGCTGTGTGTAGTAGACGGGGGGAGAGGCCTGAGGGGCGACCGGGTGCAGAGTGCTTGTCACCCGGACCCGCCGCTGGCCGTCAACCGTCGTATATGTCGTAACAAACTGAATGAAGCGTGTCTCCCCATCCCGTCTCCCCGGCGAAGCTCCGTTAGTTTCGTTTAAAATGGCGGTATCAAATACAAATGCGAAGGTAACACATTGATCAAGAGTACTGACGCGCCAGCGGGTCGTTCCTCCGACCCCAATTTGCACCGGTGACGTTGTGCGGTGAGGTTTCGCCTTATTCGCCGCTACATCGACATTACAGGGTCCCAAAACACCACTGACCAAGGTGTTTGGAGAAGTGTGTATCTCCATACTCACACCAAAGCCGCAGCGGGCCACGTATCCCCCTGAATCTTCTCTGCCTGCTCCCAGATCACAGCGGTCAAAGTAGCGCTTCAGAGAATTAGAGAATTGTTCGTGAGTGAAGAAGTCGCCACATATAAGTGTGCCACCAGTGAGATTTACGCAGTTCCGCATCTCCATCACACCAGTTTGGTCGAGGCTAAATGAAAAGACATCTAAGCAGGCGTCAGCGGCGGATAGCCTTGTCGCGAGCTTGTTGTAGAAAGCGTAACTGCTCGCGTAGTAAGGAGTGTTGTCCTCGATGATGTCACGATGAAAACGCATCATCTCAGCCTTTTCAGGACCCACAATAGCTCCCGGACCACGCGTACACGGCCCGCTCGTAAAGAGAAGAATTTTTCCTGTTGTCTTCATCGATGCGCCACCAACAACCATTCTTATGGGCTCCGACGGATTCCCCATTCCACCCTGGCCTGGCTTCCCGTCAGACCTGTTGTTCTGGCGAAGAGACTCGAGCAGGTGCACGGCTATGCTGACAGCCGTCCCTGTCGTGCGCATCGGCCGTAGACCCGAAGGCAATGGTTCACCATCGCCCTGAATCTCTTCGATTAGTGTAGTGAGCCCAAAATGGCACTCCTCAAGTGGGAGTAGGAAACGTCCGCGAACGGGACGGCGTTGGCTGATTTGTAGTTGCTTTATAAGTTCGCTGTCCTCGTAGGATACATTGCCGCGGATGATGTAGCTTTTGGCGATACCTTCATTAGTGAAGCTGCCCAATTCCCACACAGTCGTACGGGCACCAAAGCAGATAATGCCAACTAAAGAACGGCTTGGCAACCACTCAAGGCAACGCAGCAAGTTTGCCTTGAGTGCAGTGAGTTCTTCGTAGTGAAGACATACATCCACCAAGAAGAGAAAAGCAGGGTACCGTAGCTCGGCGTCCTCACCCACGCACCGTGGTCCAGGGAGAAGATACTCCACGGTATCGTACAAGCGGGCCGGGTGCACCTCGGTGTAGCTTGGCGGCAGCGCATGACAGTGCTGACATGAAAGGCACACCCATTGATGCTCCCCCGGCCGGCAGCCATGGCGACTGAGGAAAGCGCCGCAATTCCCGCACTGTCCTTGAGTTGACGAATCAAGCACGAGGTGCTTTATGCTCAAGGCCCCGAGGGGTGCGTACATACAAGCCAAAGGAACCACCATCTCCCGTAGTGGGAAGAAATTAGCCGCTGAACAGTCCTTTTCCTTAGGCTGAACAGTGTTCGGGTATGTGGTCCATGTCCAACACAAGTTGTCATCGTTTGCCACAGTGGAGTCCGCTAAGGGCAACAGTGGTAACTGATCCAAGCTTTTTTCTGAGGGGGGCAGCACAGTAGAAGTTTCAAATCTGTTACATGGCTGAGTGTAGGCAGTCTGCACTGCGGGATTGTCACTCGCATGCGTCGCCCGTGTGGTATAACGGTTTGCCGAAGATGCAATAGAGTTTGGGTAATGGTTACTGACCATCTCTGCATCTTTAGTGTTCAAGGTATACCCTTGACTGTATAATTGTTGTTGTTGTGGATGTTCCTGGGTGGGATAATAGCCACTCGAAGTGTTGGAAGCGGGATCATTACTGCAGTAAGTGGCTGTGTTTTCTGAGGCCCCAGGGTAGTGGTTACCAAGGGTTCTGTGTGCCGGGTTCGCAGTGCACACGCCCTTGGTTGGGTCAGTAGAATAGCCGCTGCTAGGGGCAACAGATGCGTATGTGGCAGCCTGCGTGTAATAACTACCATAAAAGCTCGGGTTATTCATCTCTCCCCAAAACTGAAAGGGTTCCGAAGAGCACGAATAATAATTGGTTCCTTTTGGATTATTTCTATTAAATTCAAAAGTAAGGAAGATTTTTATTTTTTTTCCATAGAACAAGAATCCACATTTACTGATCTATCCAAAGACCCATCAAGAATATTTCCTCATCGGATATTTGATCGTGAAGGTTAACACGTATGGAATGGGGGTGGAGCCTTACGTGAGGCTCATCCTCCTCCCCTCATGTGAAGGGTAATAGTGCGAGTGGAACAGGGAAAAACAGCAACAGAAAGTACCTTCTATCTCGACAACAATAGAGGGAAGCCCCAAAGTCGTTCTGCACAACGCACCTCAAGCCTAGAACGCCATCCAAGGGCATTATATCACTAAGAAAGGTTATGAACGACCGACCAGGTGAGGCGACAGTAAGCCGGAAACGAAAGCATAAAGACATAATTTTTGCACATCAAGCCATAAACACGATCCTACGGAAGCTTAAAGTAACAACAAAAAGTGAAAATATATACCCAACTTGAATTTAAAAACAGCAATGTAAATAAAAATGAGAAACCATTGTTAGCAAAGGAAATCACACTTGACCACAGATGATGATTCTGTAAGGAAGCCCTCCCCTTTCCCCCCTCAAGCAGTGGACACCCGAAAAACTATGAGCATCGACACCCATAAATCATAAGCATACAATTACTAATCTATATAAAAAATAGATGATATGAAACAATTCATTTTACTATTCATCTAACATTCTTGCATTCTACAGTAATTCTAGAGTAATGAAAAGGGCTAAAAGAAGCACGTTGCCGTGGCTAAATTGTCCGAACGGAAACGAAATAAGCAAGGAATTTAGAATGCGAAGTCTTCGAGATGAGGTAATTGAGTGTTTTCATGTATTGACATAAGGTGCTCCTTCATGTGACGTCTCTAAAAAGAAACAAAACTTATATATTCAACTGAGCTGACCATCAAGAGTGAAACACTAGCATTACACGTGGCAATCTCATCTCATTATCAATTTTTCAAATAAAGCTTTTCACTTGATGCATTTACAAACACTCATATATATATGAATATCCCAATAATCGTTTTTATAGTTCGGTGCATTAACATTTGACTTGACCTTAAACTGACATACTTTCTCGTAGGAATAAAAATGTAACACGGAAAGCGCACTTAAAGAAGAGAAATGCACTCGACGAGAGGAAGGGATAATCGTTGTACGAGACGAAAGGATATCATGCAAGGGGTTTCTATATCTAATAATGATAAAAAAACATATATTACTAGTATCTGAAATGGCTTCTCCCTCTATTAACTTTATTGAAAGGTACACGCAAGGTGATTTTTCATATAATGCGATATTCTTAATGCTCGTAACCTCCTTTATCTTGGTCCCTCTGGTACAGTTAAATGTGAGAACAACAGTTACCCATAGCATATTCACCCATCAGACCAAAGATGCATAAATTCTAAGCTTAACTACACACCCACTTGCCTGGAGTATCTTTCTTCTTTGAAATATCGAATATCTTCTTCTCACGGTGATGTTGGGCACCATGACGCTTCTCCTACCTTGATGTATATATATATATATATATACCTTCACGCGTGGATTTGAGTAGCGTACCGAAGTAAATCATCCCCGGATGCGATAACCACGACCCCCTTCTCTATCCACTGTTTACTTGCTGCAGTTGAAGGTGGCCGTGATGCGGAGGAACGTATCACCTCGCCGCCACCGTACTCAATCACCTGCACTAGCTTCTCACGAATCCCGTCGTGCTCAACCGTCAGCAAAAAACGCTGACACTTCAAGGGCGGTGGGAAGATGCGGAGGCCACCTTCTTCGTATTCGTCCAACCAAAAGCCCGCCTCATGGCTGTTGTAGATATATTCAGGTGGTACAAGCCACTTACCTGAGACAACCCCACACAGCGCCTTCACACTGCGCGGGGTACCACGGAGGACGACGTGGGTTGTGCTGAAGGGTGGGGCCTCGTCAAGGTCCCCGTTGAGCACGACAGCGTTTTCACCAAGATCAGCTACGGCTTCACGTAGCCGCTCCGGCTCCGTTTCTTTTAGACCGGTAAAGATGAAGCGGCGGGGCAATGCTGAACCACGCTTGGGATTGACAGGCGAGGGCGAGCGTGTCGGACCGGCCGCGATGGGACTTGTCCCGCAGCGAAACGTCGGTGATGCCGCCGAGGCTGTGGTTGTCGGCTGTAGGCGGCTCGCAACTTTGGTAGATAAGGGCCGCAATCCGGACGGGGGGATGGGCGTCGGCGACGCCAGTTTGACAGAAATCGTCCCGGGAAGCATCTTAGTGAATGCAGAGGATGCAATCGGTGGTGGCGCTGGGGAGCGGCTGTGACTGGCAATAGCACCGCCGTTCGGCGCCGCTTCCTGGTAGACGCGGTCAGCGTGCGTTAGGCTTGGCGTGCGTGGAGTGCGGCGCTTATGAGAGGCAGTGCGGATCAATATCGTCGAGACCTTTCCCTTGCTTTTATCGCTGTCGTTTACACCATCCAAATTATTCAATTTGCTGTTGTTTGAGTCTACCATCCGCCTTTCCGCCTCTATTCGCGCTCCGCGCGTTGGAGCAGGCGCAGAGTTGGGCGGGGCTGGTCTGCGATCTGCAGCGAATGTCGTCTGCCGCTTGGACCTCTCCCCGTCCTCATGGTTTGTCCCGTCAAGATACGTGTAGGCCGTCACTCCGTCGTGATAGCCACTCTTTGAAGGCTCTGCACCGCGCTCCAAAGCTGTTTTCTTCAGATTGTCTCTGCCTATATTCATCCCTTCAGCACGCTCTGGGCGCTCGCGTTTGGCACCGGATCTAATGCCACCACCACGGGCCGCGTCACCGGATGCGTGGGTGCTAACGGGTGTCGTAGAGGTGCGAAGCCCACCGCCTCCGTGGTTTTCCATTTTGACATTTTGCTCGAAAACCTTGGCAGCAGCAAACAGGTCGCGCGACTTGATGACTTGTCTCAGGCTTTCCTGGTGGACCTCGTCTTTGCGCCTCAGAACAGCATCATAGGTGTGCTTCAGTTCATCGATCTCAAGCTGGTGCTTTTCCTTCACATCATGCAGCTCCTTGCGCTGGTCTTGCACAACCTCAGCAAGTTCGTCAAGACGCTGCGAAAGACGGTGCAGTTGTGCCTCAGCTTCCTTGACGCGCTGCTTAGATGCAGACGCAATTTTCTCTTGCTCCTTGACTTTGTCTTCTGCATCTTTCAACGCGGATTCGGGGACCATCGCCGGTTTCGAAGGTTGTTGAACGGGGATCTTCCCCTGATATTGCGTTCCGTTGCACATCCTTACATTAGTATCTGCTAGAACTACGGGGGACTGTTTATGTTGCATTAGATTAGTAGAGGGCGACGATACTCTCGAGCTCGAACATAGCACATCTTGCGGAGAAGATACGAGAGTGCCGTTGCTATAGCTGGTATTGGTAGCGTTATGAAGATGCTTGCTTGCTGGTTGAGTATGACTTTGGTCATCTTCTCTGACAGAAGTAATCCGATTATTGACAACGCCACTATGGCCACTATTGTTGCTGATAAGTGAGAGGAAGCCCTGTAGCTGATTTACCATCTGCGGGTTCGCCGTGAGCTGATGTAATAACGAGATGACATTGGTGTCCATCGCCGCAAACGAGGGCGACAGCAGGAATGCAAGAAATTAAATCAACTTAGGCTTTTTTGTTTGTTTCTAAAGCGTTGCCTGTATATTGTAAATATACTCCACGGATCTCCGCCACCTTTTAAAAATTATTGTGTTCTTAAATCCTGCTATCTGTCTCATCAAGGATAAGGAAATATTAGGGAATCGTGAAATTAAAAGATTCAGTTTGTAGGGATACGCGAAAACGCAAAAGAGCATTCATATCCCCCTTCAGTTATGAACGTATAGATTATCTCTAAAATATTTGTGCACAAATTATGAATACATTTTGTCCTTATAACATCAATAGTTTCCCATGTATACCAATTCGGGTGCTTAGATATTAATTATTTTCGGTTTTTAGGTAGCTATTCATCGATCCCATTGGACAGAGCAGCGCATACTACGATACATACTAAAAACAGACCAGTAATAATGATAAACTATTTTCTAAAAGAAAAAAATGTGCACAGAGAGATACTTTTTTCCATTTAATATTTGTAATGTCTTGGTTATTTTTCGTTTTAATCACGATGAAAAAACTTTAATATGATACTACTTTTTCGAGGGCTTTAGCCACATTCTCTATGAAGTCTTCGGTTGTCTCATAATGCTCCTTTTTAAGATTCTTGCTACCATGAATGCATAATGCCAAGTCTTTCGTCATGTGTCCTTCTTCAATGGCTTTAATCACCACGTTCTCAAGGGTTTGCGAGAATCTCACGAGCTCATCAATGCCGTCAAGACGCCCGCGGTGGGTAAGGGCACGGGTCCATGCAAATATCGAGGCCACTGAATTAGTGCTAGTTAGTTCGCCTTTCTGATGGTTGCGGTAGTGGCGGGTCACCGTACCGTGTGCAGCCTCTGCCTCAATGGTCTTCCCATCCGGGCTCATCAAAACGGAGGTCATAAGACCCAAGGAGCCGAACCCCTGAGCCACGATGTCACTTTCCACATCACCATCATAATTTTTGCACGCCCAAAGAATGCCTCCATTACCTTTTAACACCTGTGCGACCTGATCGTCGATGAGACGATGCTCATAGGTGATTCCTAACCTATCGAACTCCGTCTTATAGCCTTCGTTGAACACGCTCTGGAATGTTTCCAGGAACATCCCATCATAACTTTTCAGAATGGTATTCTTCGTAGTCATAATCACTGGGAGCTTGCGCATAATCGCGTACTCGAAACAACTCTTCGCAAAGCCCTCAATACTTGCCTTGGTGTTGTACATAGCGAGTCCGACGCCATCTCCCTTGAATTCAAACACATTTAACACAGTGGGTGCGCCACCGTCAGCTGGGATATGTACGAGCTGAAGCTTTCCAGGACCAAACTTTGAGTCGGTGGCCGCATATTGATCTCCATAAGCATGACGTGCCACCACGATAGGGTTTTCCCAGTGAGGAACGAGGCGTGGGATGTTAGAAATTACGATAGGCTCACGAAATACAGTTCCGTTAAGGATGTTTCGAATCGTTCCGTTTGGGCTTTTCCACATCTTCTTGAGACCGAATTCCTTTACGCGAGCCTCATCCGGAGTGATGGTAGCACATTTAATGCCTACATGACACCGTTTAATAGCTTCGGCAGCTTCGACAGTCACCCGGTCATCTGTGGCGTCGCGATTCTGGATGCTGAGATCAAAGTAGTTGATGGGTATGTCAAGATACGGGAGAATAAGTTTTTGCTTGATGAGAGACCACATAATGCGGGCCATCTCATCACCATCCATCTCAACAACTTCATTCTTCACAAGGATACGCTTTCGGTCCATTTGGTAATTCGTGGCGCTGAAACAACGAGTTGTAATGGCGGTTTTTAAGGTTCCACTTGATAAACGGCGCAGCATCGATTTTCAAAATAAAAAAGGGGGGAAATATCGCTTTTAAAAGGTTCAAAAGAAGAGAAATCCAACTAAAACGTTTATGAAATTACGACTAGTACTACTAATAGAAGTGAATTTTTTACGAAACGATTACTATTGCTAAAAGGAAAACAGTTTTAACAATACAATAAGCAAAAATATGAGAAAGCTACGGTAAAGGTGCAAACTATTGTTTCTCCTCTTGTGGTTCTTATTAATGCCGTCATAATGCGCGAGAAGCGCATATATCAAGAATGATGTTGAAACGAAAGTACAAAACAGTATTAAAAGAAATGAACAAAAAAACGGTATATACAATAAATGGCAAAAGAAGCAATGGTGAAAAATCACATGTAAATGCATATAATCACACAGAAACAATATCCTGTTTTTTTACTTTAACTGTACATAAATATTCAATATAGACTATTTACAAAAGCATGTTGGGATAGAGCATTCTATGTAATCATATCAATCATATCCTTCCTATGAGGCCAAGGGTGCACAATAAAAACAGAAGAGTCATTTTAACACCTGGGAGGACATGGAGTCGAGAAAGTATTGATGACAGAACAATAGAGGAAGCCACAGAAGAAGAAAGTTAAGGGATGTCACGAAGATAAGCCCTGAAAATTCCTCTTGCTGCATTAGTACTGCCTATTCTTCTCCATTTATTTTTTTTTGGTTTTCATCTTTACGTTTCTTAACACCTCCTCTTCAACCCTTGGGATAGTACTATCTAATTTGTCCCGCAAAGCATCATTAGATCTATTTCCTGAGGACTCCAAGGATATCATACTTTTTGCACTGGGTGCTTCGGACCGCTCTAAAGGAGGTAGTGTCGTGGGAACCGGCGTAGCCAGCCCTCCGTCTCCGACTAATTGTTTTGAGGGGGGCAGCCGACCTCGGATAACCCCTGAGGTGAATGGGGTGACATGGGAACCGCTATGCTCCGGCGCTGAGCCTGTCACTGGGGAACGTAGAAGAAATGTTAGTCGCTGTACCGCCGCCGAAGCCGGGCTCACGGCTAGGCTAGGGTGCAGTGCACCAGCGAGGAAGAACGGCGGGGGCGACTGGGTGGTATTGTGCTCATCACCACGCCATTCTTGTGAGTATCGCTTTAGAAAAGCCGAGTAACTATGATTCGGGACAAATGTCACCGAATCACACTGCCCTACCGGAGTTCCAAGCATTCTCTCCAAATCAGCATCCCCTATGCCGTAGGTCCATGAGGCGAGGTTCGGTAAGGGCACCCTCGGAGTCAAACGGTCCCTGCAAAGTTTCTCGCAGGGAGGTGAAGCCGATGGCGAACCAGTCTTCATGACCACGTAAAACGGTGAACCTCCAAAACTCTCTTCGACGAGAGGGTTGCCAAGGCCAAGACGAGCTGCCGCACGTTTTACGACATATCGGTACTTTTCTAGGCGCTCTAGGAGGGTGGTAGGGGTGTGCAAGTATCTGTCCAGTGACTCAGAGTTGTAGTGAGTGGTAATATTCTCAAAAGCTCGGAAGTTGGCACTGTCGCGTGGACAGGTGTATCCTTCCTCAGCTCCGCCTCTGTGTACGTTTGCCTGTACCTCGCCAACCCCGGGCGGGCCCGATGCCCACTTAGTACACTGACGCAGCCGATGCCAACCTGAAAGCTCACGTTGTGTTGACGGGGGAAAAGGCTGCATGCCGTGGTCGACCACCACGGCAATCGGCGAGCTACGCCTATCGGGGGAGGGATCCTCCCCCAAGACATCCGATTTCCGGTCTGGGTGGCTGAGCCACGCGTTCAACAACGCGGTGCGCCGCGATAGCTCAATGCCGACCCCACTGCCATTGGGGCCAGCGTTGAGTATGATTTGATCTGGCTTCGTGCGGCGCCGCAGGATGTCTCGGACACGCTTTGATGCCTCCATGCCATACCACGCCGGGCATCCGCCTTTCACTTCGAAGTCGTGTGCGCCGCGTACAGTCCCAAGTTCAAGTTGCTTCGTGCCAGAATCTTCCGGGCTTGGGGTAACTGGGCTAGCCCGACTGCGATCCTGCTGCTTTTGAGATTGATAGCGGTGCCGCAATTCCAGTTCCTCGAGTCGTTGCCTGCGTGCCGCGTTTAGATACTCCAACTCGACTCGGATGCGCTGGATTGCTAATGTATTTTCATCTCCACCCTTGAGGTTGTCTCCCAGACCAAGATCCATGTCATAATCAAGATATATATCCTCTGGTTTCAGACCATCTGCATCGTTGGCTCGTGCCGCAGAACGCGGCTTCATAGAGAAGAGGGCTGCAAGCTGATCAGCAGTATATTTGGCCTCAGTGTTCCCTAATTGATCAGGAACATGTGGAAGGGTAAATGTTTCAGTGAGAAAGAGTTCACTGCGCTCTGTATTATTATCCATAATATTTTGTTTATACCGGTCCTTATCCTTATCAAGGAGATTGGGTATTTGTTGCACGCTTTTATCCTCCTTCTGGACTATGCGCAATGCATCTACTGCGCGACATCTTGTTTGATAGTACGCCTTTACACGACGCTCCATGTTTTGTGATAGATGTTGGAGGTCGTCAGAGCACACTAGACCATGCAACACCTCAGCGCTTGCGGCTGCGGACGATCCCGCCTCACAGAGGCGCATCTGCCACATTGTTCCTAAGATATCGACACAACTCGAGATGAGCGCACTATCCGCAGCGATTAGAAAAGGTAATGTTGGTGCTGTATTGTCTTCGCTAAACCTTGAGACCTTTTTTGCAACCTTTTCGATAGTAGCATCACCATCTTTTATCACATGGTGGAATTCCTCCGACAGCATATTCTCCATTTCGCCGATGTAGGGACTCAACAAGGGCTGCAATATAGTCACTCTCAGCGAAAGAAGCCGTAGGAGTTGCATGAGCTCCTCATGGTGAATCCAGTAAAGGCACCTCAACTGCATCATATTTACTCCATGGCCCTCAGTAGTCGCGTTCCGAGTGCAGACAACGCCCTCATCTCCAAAATCTGATTCGAGGCCCGCGACGGCATTGACTTCAATCATGCGTTTTGGGTGCAAGAAGCCATGTGTGTAGCTGTTGAGGAGGACCTTGTGGAGGGCTCGTTGAGCGGGAGACACTGGAGCGAGTTCTAATGCAGCAAGTAACTTGTCACCGTCAAGGAACTGGACTTCGGGCGGCGAGCCGGATATGAAAGGCAACGATAATGGCTCTTCCTCCACGCGTGCGGTTTGTATTAGTCCATTTTGCACTCGATTGTTGTCCATGCCAGCCAAAGAGACTGATGAATCCTTGCTTTGTACTATAGTGGTAGACTTTAGGAGCTCACGCATGTCACGTATAAGATAATGGGTATCAGGAATGATCATAGTATCATCCGACTCTGGACTTTCGGACGACAGGGTAGACCGAAGAGTTTGCACGGAAACTTCAATCATCTCGTTATCTTCATTTCTATCAAGATACTGCGACACGTCCACATCCAGCCAATTTGAGAGCTCAAGTTCGACTTTGGCTAAGTCTTTTACAGCATCCAAGTACTCTTTTAGGTCAGTCTCTGTATTTTTTACACACCTGAGAAGTCCCTGTCGACGCGCCACGAGCTGCTGTATCACATCCTCTGCTATGTTTTTGTCAACCTCTTTCATGTCGAGCATAGCGTGCTCTGTGAGGCATGCGTAACGGGCCCACTCCTTGGAGACCTTCTCAATCCGAATGCGCACCTCAGGATTCACAAGGCCTAAGTTTACACTATGCGGCGTGATGTGCTGACCTGACACCCTCAGCAAATTAGAGTCAGGGAGGCTTTTGAGCAAGGACTGGAGTTGGTTCCACGCCCTCTGCGACTTTTGCTCCGCCTCGGCGTGTTCCACCTCTAGGAGTTTGCGATACGAGAGAGTGTAGGGGCGACGGATTTTAATATGAAGGCGAGCAAGAATGTCCCGAAGTCTTCCTTTCAGCCGAACCGACCCTTCATGTCGATAGGCCTCCCCCCGCGCAAGCTGAGTCTTTCCTTTAGCTTCCACAGCCCTGTAAGTGTCTGGTGGCTTCGCAGATGGAGATCCTGCCTTAGGCTTTCTCATGCCGGCGATGAACTTGCCGCCAGTAGCTTTGCCCTCGTTTGCATTCTGCTTGCCCTGGTCGGACGCGTTCCCGGGCTGCTGCTGCTTCTTTTCGAACGCGGGGATAAGCCTTTGAGCGCGATTTTTAATGCTTCTGCTAGAGCTCCGAGGCCTACCTGCACTTCTTGTTCCTTTTTCATCTTCCTCACTTTTTTTACCAGAAGCCTTACGGTGTGTTACGACGTACTTCTTATACCAGGCCTCATTCATAGTCTGAATTTCCTCCAGATGCTGGATACGTCCCTTCAGAGTATGTATCTGCTCTAGGGCCCTCTCCAAGAGCAACGCTGCGCTTCGATCCGGAGAAGCGTTTTCTGTTTCGGTACAACGAAGAAGTTTAATTTTGTTCTGGAGTTCGTCTATCACGTTATTCATTACTGCACGCTCGCGACACTCTTCCGCCAAATCGATTGGAGTTCGCTTCATCCGAAGAGCTATAAAATCATGAGTCTCCATATTACCACTGCTAGAAGCAAAGTCACTTTCGAATTCCTCAGACTCATCCGCACCGGCTGCCGCATCGAAATCTTGCCATACCATCATTTCTTCCTCACGGCGCTCAAGGTAGGCCTGGTATACCCTTCGCTTTCGATTTATCTGGAGCTCATTGCGACGAATGTCCGCAAGGATTGCTACTCGCTTCCGATCCATTATGCTCTTAATGTTGTCACCACCCGAAGACCGGACTCGCCGTCTTGATGGGCTCAACAAGGAACTTGACCTGGGGGAACACTCATTCATGAGCCATTGGATGGTTTCGTTAGCCATGTCAAGGCGCTCTTTTAGGGCATAAACCTGTTGCTCCTTGGTGAGATGGGCGAATGAAATGCTATCCTGGTTGTTGATGTGATCCTTGAAGGACACATCGTGAGCCATCAGAGGGCGCTTGTGTTGGAGGCTGTTGATGACCTGTTGAGCACTGTCGAGATCATTTCGTAGCGCCTCAACTTCACGCTGCATATAAGTATTTTCAGCAACGAGGCGAGATATTTCTTTTTCAAAGGACTCAAAAAATTGAGCTTTGGTTTCATCAGCATCATATACAAACAACTCACCATTAATACTTTCGCTTTCACTGAGTTTTTTGATGGCTTTCACAACCCGTGAACGCTGCGGCGCCTTGCTAGGGTTCATGACGTCACTGAGTACATCATGGTTGAGTCCTAGTGATGTCAGCGGCAGCGGCATTTCGTCGCGGCTTGTCGCGACTGACTTCACGCCCCCAGTGCTGAACTCTCTGACCCGAAGCCGAGAGAGCGTATTCGGTATCACGGAAGTGGAAGGCTTCATTACGTTGTGCCCGCTATTGTCCTCTTTACTGACTTCGGTTGATTTCTGCGATACATCATCACTGGAAGCCTTCGATAGACGTGTTTCCTTAGCGGACGTGAGGGTCGGGTCGCGCATCATGTTCAAAACATCCAAGATTTCATTGTCGTCCACTGAATCATTCCACGCCAAATGCCGTAGCTCATCTGAATCAAGCTTTCCCATCAAAATACTTCGCATGCTCGCGTAGTTCCCTACCGCTGCTTTAGAGCGGACGTCATTACGCCACCGACCAGAGGAAGTTATGAAAGTTTGGGTTAGCATGTCCACAACTATATGGTCGAAGTGATGAGCCAGAACAAGGTCGTAGCCACACGCATAGGCCTCCTCCGCCGTGATATTGTTCTGAGGGACAAGTACAAGCCCTGCGCCCTGGGCTTGCTCAGTATTGATTAAGCTCTCCTGGACTGGACTGTGCAGTAGAAGAACTACTACAAGCTCGAGACCGTACTCGTTGTTGAAGTAGCGCAGGTAATCCATGATGTCGGTAAATGGCTCGTGTGTGAAGCTGTCGACAATGACAAGTTGTGTGATCGCATCGCCTGGCAAGGCTTTGGTGGAATTCCGCCGGGAACTCTTATAACCTAAATGTTTATGCAAGTCTAAATCAGCACTACATATGCTTCTATTGTCACTGTCGTCCTTCATACTGGCAGCGGCAACGACCGTGTCAGCATTGTTTTGCCCGGCCACTTTATCGATATTAAATAAATCATGAATTTCAGAGCGCGTCTTGTGAGCATATCGGCTGAAGGTACCTACTTCAGAGCCCATGACTTTCGTTTCATTGCTACTGAGATCGGGTCGCGGCGCCCGCCGACGAGAGACGCAATAACCCCTTTGAATCGCTTGAAAAACTTCGTCCTGCAAAATAGAGGTGGCCTGCGTGATGGTCTGCGCCTCTGAGACGCGCCACCGATACAGACGCAGTTGTGATGCCATCACAGACATCGATAGAACGTTTGCTGAAATCAGCAGCGCACGAGCCTTATCCTCGCGCTTGCCTATTTTGCACTGCACTCGGAGATAGGCTTCATCTTGGGCCTGAAAGCTCCGCCTCTGATCCTCTTTGTTGCGCTCTGTGCTGGTGCCCCCAAGCCCATTTGTTGTGCCAATGGGGAAACCATAGTGCAGGATGTACGACGTAGGGTTCTCATAGTATTTCTCTAACTGTTCATGGGGGTAATTTTGCGTGTCAGAAAGCATATGGCTAAGGTACTAAAACGTACACGTATCCACTTGACCTTTGCACCTACTCATGCGCGATAATAAGAAAGCAGAGGAAAAGGCACGAGAAAATTTGAAGATTGTAAAGGAAAAACTCGCAGAAGAGAAACGAATGTCAATGATAAAAGGTAAAATCCTTTACTGAAGGTTGTTAGAATTACATTACCGAGTTCTGTTTTATTTTATTTTAAATTAGAGAAACGCTCCTCTAATGTAACGAAAAGTGCAGTGCAGAGAGGAGAGCAGAAGTACGCATACAATGAAGAAACAAAAACTATAGAAAACACGTCCACACGAACTGCAGTACGATAAATCTCATAAGTATTTTTGTTAACAAAATGTCGCGCCTCCTTCCTTCTATCATTATTTTTCCATACAGTCAATTCTACTCGATATTATTCACTAAAGGGGCTTGTAAAACAGCTTCTTTGTCATTGTTGTTGGCAGGCTGGTGGCATTGCAGACACCGACGGCGACACGCTTTCTGGCTTCGCGGTGACCAACTGGTTTTTCACAATATGCTCTGCATTGTCCGCCTGCCCGGTCTCGCATTCATTCGATGGGTGAACTGAGTTAGAATTAGGCTCCAGTGTAAGTGCTGAGGCAGGGGGACCGACAGCGGTGTGGTCCTTGATAAACCCAAAGCATGCCCCTTGGGCGCGGGAGAAGTGATTGCCTCCTGCCTCCCCCCTGCAGTCTGCGGCGACTACCACCACAAGAGTCTCGTCCGGGCATGCACCAATCACCCGCAAAATACGTTGGTTCACGAGTTCCACTCGCCGCAACTGTTCTGCCTCGTCAAATATAGCTGTTACTGAGCCCGATGAAGGCTGCGCCAGCACATTCACTGCGGTTTCTCTGAGCTGAACCCACATGAAGGAGTACGAATCGTCGTCTGAAGCTATCCGGGTGTGAGACACGATATGATTTCGACTATGGAGCGCTCGCACAACCTTTCGGACAGCATCTTCATCGTGGCGGACTGGTATCGCGTCGATTAGCGCTGCACCAGTGGATGCGCTTTTCTTCGGAAGAATATTGGATAGCACCTGAGGGTCGTCAAAAAGACGGATGTGGATAGGGATGTCCTGTCGAGACCTTTCTGCCTTCCTGGACACCTGGGCTTCGTTGGAATTAGGACAGCCGCCGCACATCAGATCCAACACGTTCACACGCTGCCTGATGCCAAACATGGGACCCCTTTCGAGCTTCAGTTGCACAAGCTCCAGACTGATCTGGGCATCCATAGCACTATCGTGGCTCCCCTGTTGAATGCGCTTACCCAAGTAGCGCATCGCCAGGAACCGCAGCGAATTTTTATACGGCAATCCTGACGGATGCGGGAACAGCCATGCGGTGTCCAGCAGATAGCAGTTTGGAATCATCTGACACGCCTTGAAGTCGTTTTCCAGTGAATGACCCACAATAAAATCCGAGCTACGGATGTGCATTTTAAGTGCTGCTTGACAATCCACTAAAGTGTTCGTGACGTCGCGCAGAGTCTCCTCGTTAATGCCGCTAAATCGGGTCAAGTAGTCGATGATCTCTGTACGTGGCTTCACAAGCATGTCAAAGACAACTTTAGCCGACCGTGCGTCGACAAGAGTGGCACGTGCTAAAGAGCTCTCCCGTCCCTCGGTCATAACCATCTCGCAATCGAGTGCGAAGACCCGCGGAGGTCTCTCTGAATACCGGAGCTCTTTCCACGCACAATCTTGTCTGTATTCATCTTCGTCATCGCTTGTGCTAAATAGATCCCAATTAGTGTCTTCCTGTGCGTTGTTGCACGCTTTACTACCGTCCCCAGAGGCAGAACAGTCCTTAGGGTCTACATGAATTTGTGCCCCTGGTTTCTCAAGTAGAAAACCCAGCTCCCTGAGCTCAATTTGGTGCTCAGGAAAGTGAAGGGCAAACTTTAACAAGTGCTCCCGTCTATCCCAAAGCGTGGGAAGCACCTTGGGGTCAACATTCTGTGCAGCGGAAGGGTCTTCTTCGTGCGTACCTTTGGTACTGGGGCTACACTCTTTATCATCGCGACTAATGGCAGAGTCACCTCCCAAGCAACTGATGGACGACGCAGGAGTGATAGAAGGAGGCACAGAACTTGGTGACTGGCCGCTCGCAAAAGCTTGGGCACGTTTAAAAGCACTCCCAACACCACCTACAAGTTTCTCAGATCTGCTGAAGCGGCCGATATTTGCGATCTCTTCTTGGTCCCTATCAATGTCATGTGAAGAAGCACAGGATATGTGATCCACCACCATCAGCTTCGATTCCCCTTTGCAAGGCTCTGAAACTGGGCTATGATCTTTTTCAGGTAAAGGTTGAGTTCTAAAGCTACTTTTGGGCACCCTTGGAGCGTCATTACGCCAGAATAAGTCGGATTCGAACTCATTTTTTATGCTTGGAACTACTAGAGGTGCGTAGTGCACGCCCCCGAGATTACCATGACTCTGATTCATACGAGCCCAACACACACCTGTGCGGATAGGTTTTAGCATGGAGTGGCAGATACGCTGGTTCCATCTCAGCAATGATGGGGGCTCGCTTTTCTTCACCTGAGTGATTGATTCTTCAAGATCGCCGTTATCATGTGACGATAACATCCCGCTCTGTATTTCCTGGGATGACACTCGCGGTAAACCAACTCCAGTGGCCATCATCATATCGTACGACCACCCGTTGACGTATATCATCACTACGTTACGGAGTCTAGATTTGTTCCTGATAAAGAACTCGCGGGGTGCTTCAATCAGCGGAATCGCAGTGGGCACAGTCCATAGTAGCAGATTACCTAGATCACGTGGCGTAAATCTCGAAAAGTGTTCCGGCGACTCATTAATCGTAGTGTTGCTGGTTTCGTGATCGACGAAGGTAGGAGACGTTAAAGATGGCCTAGGACAAAATGCGACCTCAACGCGCAAAAGAGATTCGGGCAGTGTGTGTGATCGATCAGCATTATCAGCATCGGTCCCAGTAGGGAGAAATAATTCGGCCTCCTTTGCCTGGGGCTCGACCTTTTTCTTCTTATGCGGCTTCATGCTTGATACATACTGCTGCTCATGTATTATCGCAGTGAGAGGGGTATCGTCCTTAAGGCCGTTACTACGTCGCATAGAGTAGCAAGCACTACGTGCAGCTGCAGATCCTTTTTCCTTTTTTTGTTTTTGCAGGTCGTATTGTCTATTTGATATGCTGCAAAACAGTTCTTTACCTTAGAGCTATTCGAAGCAAAATGAGGAATAACATACAAACGACCCCCACGAAATGCGCGGTAGATAAAATTACACCTTTCATACCTCAGCATACTTGAATAGCACACAAATTTTTGCCTCGTCACTCTTTTTTTGTTATTATACTTGATTGTGGTTTCCTACGTGTTCTCTTTTTTTCCTTTGAAACAAGGTTCACAGTTACTGCATAAGAACTGATTGTTAGTACAATATACCAACAACGGATAAAAGACCACAACATCATTGCTACAACACCGGTTCTTTTCTTCATCTGCTGTTTGATGCAGTAAAAGAATTTCTACTGACCAATGTGTGGTACTCAGCGGAATGGAGCCATAAAGTAAATGGCTGAATAAAATACAAAACTAGTCATATTATTCCCTAGGATATCCACCAAGATATGCCACACATCCCAACTTGATATAGCCACCATCACCAAAGAAGAGCTAAGATACATGTAATTCCTTCCGGAAAAGTGAATCTCCGCGCTATATTTTACCGGGAAGATCTAAGCCTCTACCAATTAGAAATTGACATCAACCCCTCTGAATGGAGCACATATCAATAACGCTTTGAGGGCTTTTCGGATGCTAATCATGCTTGCAGTTGACGTGCATGCCCCTATTGTAACTATAGGAAGCAATCGTATTTGCATTCACATACCTTCTATCCTAGAGCTTGCGCAATGGCGCAGTTATGAGCCTGCGATTTGACTCTCCTAGACAGAGCTATTTCGGAAATACAGCAAGACGAAATGCGGGCCACGATTTTTACTTCCTTTAATCGCAACCCACCTAGGATGATTTCTGCAGAAAGATACGTATAATGGAAGGCCACGTGCTTTAGCAGATGTATATTCAGAAACAGGTATAGAGAGTAGAATAGAACTGTTTCTGAATTGATATGGCACTAGGAATGGAGGGATAGAACAGTATTCATCCGTAGCACCCAGGTCAGTAGCTGCTATTACCGTGATAACGGCAAAAATAATCCACTAGAATATTGAAAACCTCTGAATCAATGCAAAGAAAAAATGAAATATAAATGTACCGTAAAACATTTAAAAGAGAAGGTAAAAGATATGACAATATGTAGATACTCAAAGGTGTGGTGGGATAATCAAGCTCCTGAGTAATTGACAATGAACTTATGCACTAATGTTGAAAATATGAGTAAACTGTTTCTTGATATCAGCCTACCACTATAGCTATTTCTTACTTTCGAATTCGGCAAAGGAAATCAGGTGAGTAAACACACTTCACATGGTTTTGTATCAAGAAATACAAACACGCTCCTCTGCGCACATGGTAGTGATTGAGAATATTATCCTCAATGGAGATTTTATAACGGAGAAAAACATCACTGATTCATGAAAATGAATCAGTGCCTGGCCATAAGAATAGCCACAAGAATGTCGAATTGAAAATACATAAAAACATCTTCTCCATTCTTCATCCCTTCAAAGACTCATTCTAGAAACTAATCGAACAAAAGCAATTCACAGAAACCTTTGAGTAAAGAAAAATACAGTGTATATCAATAGACATGCCTGAGACCACATTACCTAATACTCACAAGATTTCGCTATGATAAAGCTCACCCTATTGTTGTTTGCCCTCAGTACCTCCATGAATGGCTTTGTCGAACCTCTTCATCCTTCCTCTACCCATTATTCCCTTTCTTGGAGTTGTGCGCATTATGACGTCATCCGCAGGGGGTGGCACTCCCTCAGATGGCAATCAGGACCAGCGTGGGCCCGTACGGTCGAATGATACCGTATGAAACACCGAGGGATAGATATGAGGGAGGGCGTGATTCTGTGCATCCCGATCGGAGCTCCGCCTTTGGTTTGACTACCGCAGCGGTACCCCCACAAAGCCTAACATGCGAACCAGAAAGGTAAGAGTCTCTTGGTCTCCTCGTTTCGCTCATGATACTAAACTCTGACACCATTGATAAATCAGCTTGTTTTACTAAAGAGCAGAGAATATGGAACACTAAGGTTTTTGAATCGTCAGATTCACAAGCTTCTCCCAGCATTGGGGTCCTTCCTTCAGTTCTTGCAACGGTGCAGCTCGTCGCGCTTCTCGCCCCTTGATCTCCTTTTGCACCCCTTCCCCGATAAGCTGCTCGACAACGGCACGTTTTGTCACCGATTCCATGATCTTGCGCTGCTGAATCCGACTTTTCTTGAACATATTGTAGGTATCATTTAGGAAGGCTGCCACACGTGCCTCGCGTCTGCTTAGCCCACGGAATGAGGGAGAGTACAAATAAACAGTGATATTACGGTCTTCCCACGTTAAGTGTGGGTATTTGTCGCTGCCGTAGCAAAAGGCCCAGACACGGCCCATGAACAGGTACGCCTCGTGGTAGCTCAGGAATGTAAAAGTGCGCTTGATGGCCTCCTCACCAAACACAACCTGCGACTCAGCCGGCGGTGCGTCTTCCGCTACGTAGGAGCTACTGTCGATCCCTTTTACACTGCTCATTTCTTGTGCAGAGGTGTCGCACCCCCGTACCGGTACCCATCCCTTTACCGACCGAAGAAAATCCTCGACTTCATCATCGCGCATACGGCGCTCGTGTCTGGCATAGGACCCACCGTGCTGTGGGTTTGAGTTGTGAAACACATTAAATCCATAGTCGCCCTTACAGCGACGGGCATCGGCTATGACAGCGAGGGCATGCGTCGTACTGCTGCCAGCGTGCGTACGACGATAGAATGTCAAAAAAGACCTGGGAAGGATGTCAGCAGAAGATGAATTGAATAGGCGATAACGGCAATAGCGGGTACATGAAAAGAGGTGCTTCAATGCACAATCCTGAGGTGGACGGAGACTTGCTACACTCATACAGAAGTAACCCTATATTAAAATAATAACGATTATAGCAGCCTTATAGAAGAAACACAAGAGAGAGGAGGGTGAATGTGATTTTCAAATATTCAGGTGCACATTCACCTAAGTCGCTGAATCACTTGAGTATACACGTCATGAGGTGATCAACAGGTCTCCACATCTGAAGAGGGACCGCAATCGGTGCATAGCATTCCACCCTAAGAAAAAAACAGGGCTTCAATACTCCAAGACAGAGTGGATGAGTGCTACGAAAGACTTGATTAGCATCTAAGGGCTGCCATCTATAACTATTTGGGAGGAAAAACAAATGTAAATTAAGTAGGAGACAAGCATGCGCGCTCATTGGTTGGCACGCACTATTCACCGTTAAACAGACATCAGACGAATAGCCCGAGGAATGCAATTGTAGTGGGCATGCAAATGAATAGCGATCAGGGTGGCCCTCGTCTCTGCGAATTAAAATCTTCTCTGCACCCCTTTAATATCGTAATGAGGGATAAACTGTGCGGTGATACGCTTGGGATACGTAGAAACGAGAAGAAAGGATTTATAAACTGCTTCCCTTCTCTACTTTTTTTTTACCCTCACTTAGACCATAGCAATAGAATTTCCATTATAAAAAAATGCGGCTCATAATGTGATACAGTTACGTAAAGCATCTTTTTTGTTATAATTAATTGCAGCCTGCAGTAATAAAATACAGGACCATCACTCCACAGTCATGGAGGCTCGCGCGTCTTCCAAAAGCTTTTGCCATGAGGCCTCAGGTATATTAGCGAAAAGACTTTCTATCCTCTCTCCCGCTGAAGGTGATGGAGATGCTAGGTCGCGTTGACGCTGTCGATCCCAGCGCTCCAGCACATTTCCGAGGTCTCGCATCCACACTTGCTTTTTATCTTGGTTTCCAACGCATCCCCACAAACGTAAACCGCGAAGTCGAAGCTTCACGTACATGCTTACACACCACAACACCTCCTGTGCACTCACTGAAGTCTCTAACGTTCCTCCTATTGAAGAAGACAATGCACCGTCCTCTTTGACCGCTATGTCCACACTAAGTGTGTGCCACCGCAATAACTCAAGCGTTAGCGCACTTGCCCCATCACATGGCTTTGCGTAGCGCTCAAACAAGCGGATACTCCATTTGCTTGGGGCTTGAGACGTTAACCGCTCGGGTACGTCGCACGTGTTTGGGCTCCAGGAAGATGTACGCTTATTATCGTTTTGAAGTGCGTAGATGCGGAGCGCAACGAATGCGGCGTTAGCGATGCCAGCCACAAGTTGGCGCCGTAGCATGTATAGGAGGAGATGAAGGGGTGTGGGGTGGCTAGGACCCATGGCAGCCCTAGCCGGAGCTAAAATAGGGTCCACATTAATGCGATCATTGAACTCGCTAAAAAGTAAGCTAAAGTCTGACTCGTGGTCTAAGCGAACATACAAGAGAGCTTCATTAAAATATTTAGCCCCTGGCACTTCCATAAGTCTGTAACTGCCGCTTCGCTGCGGCACACCGTTAAAATTTTGCATACCATTCACGGCTTCGCCTTGGCATGTACTCGTCTGATACTTGGCTTCTAGACCTTCTGCTGGTACGCTCATTTTGCCCATACCCTGAGACACGTGGTCGCTAATGGTCCCTGAAAGATTCGCGAGGACGCTGTATATGCGTTCTCTGCTTTCCTGTGTAGCCAAGTATTTGTGACCAATAGAGCCTGGCGTAGTCGTGGGGTCAAATTCTTGAGATAGCCAATGAGTCTTGTAAGGTAGAAGAACACCACGCTGCGCTAGAAGTATGCATTGTTCGTAAGACTGCAGCACGATTTGGTAATCGTTTACACTTGCCGTCATCCCGTTTAAATCCGAAAGGCAACTGTTGCCGTTCTCCCGATATCGCTCTGCTGTGAGAAGAAAGTTATTGTACAGCCTATTTATCAGCCCTATCACCACATGCACATCTCTTCGGCTTTGGCGCACCGTCGTCAGGGAATCAATAACCACACGGAGCGCAATATTTTTTTCTTTGGAGAGCCTTGACAGACGATGGCTCCATGACCATCGCAGAGGCAAACATGTCTGTGAGAGGTCTATATCACGCATGATAAACGGCGCGAATGTTGAAAAACAATCGTTGCTTCCCCATGCAACAGGTGACTTAGAAAAGGTTGAGGTTACATTACAGGAAGCAGCTTTACTCGCAGCCTGTCGACGTGAGGCCCGAATAATTCGTTCCTCTAGGCTCCAGTCGTCCTTTTTATTCTCTCCGTCGTCTGACCATAGCTCCATACCATCTTCCACCTGAGGAACCACTACTTCAAGAGCACCGCCACAGCCACCGGCAGGGGGAAGCTCTGCTCCTCCCCCTTCCACACTTTTCGTTGAAGGCTCCCTTTCGGGATTGCGCTGGTGCTGGGCTTGGAGTAACATCGGGTTTGATTCAAGGGTCTTGGCCACTTCCTGAACTATTGATGGATGCCAGCGCACCCGGCAAGCGCTACCTGATACCACACAATACCGCGGCAGCACCTCCTTCAGCGCCCGGTATCGGATATCATCGTCACCGTCGGTTCTCGACACCTGCAGAAGCGAAAGCAACTGGCATCGTAGTAGCCGCATTACGGCCGCACACACCACCGTTTCGGCCTCCAATGACAGGCATCCCGCATACCCTGCCGCGTAGACGCAAAGGAACGCATTGCTGCATACTTTCATCGCCTTTTCAAAGGACAAAATGGGTGAAAAAAGCTCAGCACTAGGCGCCCCATTGCGGGCCGGATCCGGCCAGTTGTCCCATATCTCGTCAACAAAAGGGGTTGCAACACACAGCTCTAATGGCACTAGTACTTCCTCTACATCGCCGTCGTTATCGTCCTCTTTGTCCTTGACCAGCGCCTCGCCTGAGCTTTCCCTATATTCACTTTCCCCGTTCCCCACTTCGAGGTGTGCGCCGGGTTGAAGACTAATATCAGGCTCACACAGTGCTTCTGTGGAAAGAATGTGAAAATTCAATGACGGAGTCGATAGTCCGTCATCAGCACGCAGGTTACTGCCGCCTGTCTGAAGCTCTTTCCTCATTTGTGTGATATCCTCCTCTGTTAACATCAGCACATCAGTGTGGTCTTTTCCTTCTTTGGTGGTCACATAAGGTTCCTCATGATATTCTATCCCGTTGATAACAAAGGTTGGTAAAGCATCATCATGCTTACCTTTTTTACAGGCTTTACTGGAATCAGCTGGCCGGGAGGCACCTTCCGCCGGAGTTACCGCGGCAGTAGTAACGGGAGGCCGTGCGTCAGCTTCAGTGGTCTCTGTTTTGCCTAAGCCATCATAATATAAGTTAGAAACAGGTAGCAAGCGCAACTTCACGACTAGCATTTAGAGGAACACCCTTTATTTGCCGCTGCTATTCTAGACTTCTACTTATCACTTAAAAATATGATGAGGAAATCAGACTAGCCTGCACACTGTAACCATACATACTTAGGCAAGGAAAAAAAAAGGACCAGTGAGATAAATGAATAAAGCGAAGAACCCCCCACCCTTCCTGAATGAAACATATGCACTCAGGCGATTATTAGCGTGTCTGACTCCTAATCGATGAGGGAATACAAATGTAAGACCACATGCACAGTGTCCCGTAATCTGTTACTTTATTCGTATTATTCTCAATATTTCATTGTCGTAAATTATCCCAATTCAATTGTTACAATTAATTAACGCCGGACGATCGGAAATACTTAACAAAGAAAAAAACGATCTTCCTCCTTTTTACTCCAGTCATGACAATTTATGTCTATTTGGTTATCATAGCCCATTCTAGACACTATAAGCGTGGAGAAGAGGTCATAGTGGAGACGGCGAATGCATCCTTTTACCAACTTACTGCTCATTACAGCGAAACCAACCCCCTTTTTTACAACTTCACTTTAATTCCTAGGCACACCAAAATGACTTTGGCCATCTCTTTATGGAAAAGTTAGAGAAATTTAGCTTGACTCCTGGGATTCTATTTCCTTCCTTCTCTTCTTAGCCGTGGTATCACTTGTGCTTTCTTCTAGCAGTCTCTGCTGCTTGCGCTCCCGAAGCCGAAGGATGTGCTGATACTGCTCTAGGGCTTCTGCCATAGAAGCCTTATTGCTTGGAGGCTTATTACCCGTGTCGAAGAAGTTCAAACGCGCCTCAACTTGCTCCCGGAGCTTTTCGCCAAACACAGTAGGTGGCTGCTCCATAAAGCAGTCAATGCGGCAGGCAAGCGCAGCCTTATTGGCGAGGTAACGCGATATCTTACCCCGGTTCTCCTTTGTAGCACGCTGAATGAACGAAGAATGAAATATCAGACCATACTTTGGGGTGTTACCTTTGCGCTTCTTGAGCGCCCGGAACAATGCTTTCTCCGCACCTAGGATCTGAATGGTACTAGCTGGCGACTTAGCAAGATTTGTCAGAGAGCCAGCCTTCGAGATAAGTTTAGCGCCAATGTTTTGACCGATGAGTTGTGTTAGGTTCGGTGCCACAAGCATCATTTTGTCTACTAGGTACTGCGCAAGACCTTCGCGATACTCGCCGAGCGACACGACGCGCTTGGTGAAAGTTCGGAAACAGTCCCAGTCCACCTCAGCCATATCGCCACCCATGGAGGTAACCGCTTTTTCATACACGCGCGCCGCCAGCGCCTCGTCTCCCTCAAGGATTGCACCGATCTCCGCCTTTACCTTATCGGCACCGCGCTCCTCCAGGGAGGAGCGGTTGCCAATGAGCAACGCGATCGAGGAATATTTAAGGGGCTCTGGTACCTCCTTCGCCAGTTCAGGGAAGTGCCAGCCGTACCACTCCTTCACCCTCATACCGAGGAGATTGACACCCTTGTCCATGTGTTCAGCCAGTGCAGAGGCTTGAATAATCATATTGTCGCTGCGGTGCACATTGAACTTGACTTTATTGCGAGAGAAGGCATGACCTAGACCGCACTGTGCTCGGGGAATGTCGCCCTCTTCGTGCTCCGGAAGGAGTTTCTCGGCATGCAGGCGAATGCAGCGACACAGCTCCGTCACCGCCTCATTGCACACAACTGGATACTGCAGCTGCTCGTGAATCGCACTGCCGAGCTTGGGATCCTGCACACCAAGCTCCCACTTTGCTTCCCCCTTTGCTGCCTTCTTGGCGAGCGCCGTAGTCAGGAAGCGGTTTAGAAAGGTACTCATCAGACCCTCAGAGATACAGACTGCGTCTTCAAGAGCGTTCTCCGGAGACTCAAACGGTGCAAGGGACACCAACTTTACCCATGGCGAAAAAGTAGCAAATTTTTGGAGATCCTTCTGCAGGGATACATTATCGGCGCCAATCTCCTCAGTTGTGAGAACCTTGAAGATGCTGTAGCCGGTGGGCGACTCGTAAAGTAGGTAAAGAACCTTCGACATATTTTCTCTTGGGTTTATAAATATATCAACGAAAAGTGTATTTTATCACTGATGTTAATAAGAAATGTTCTCACCTTTTATTGAAGTTTTGCTCCGTAGCTAGATGTAGAATAGCATGGAAAAGGAAAATAAAATTGAGCCGAGGTGCTAGACATCCTGAGATACGTACCGCATCCAGTAAAATGAATATTGAAGCCATCGAGTAATCACCGCCCGACCCCTGGGGTCTAAATGAAATCTAGCGCAAGTCACACACACATATATATATATATATATATATATATATATATATATATAAACTTCTAATACTTATCAAACAATTGCACAAGAAACGCTTGATTATTACCTCTTTACTCACTCGTTTATATGTACAAAGTAAGACGGAAATGAAATAATAGGCACCGTAGAAGTTGCGAGTGTAGTACATAAATGACCAGCTATACTTTTAGGAAATAGTCTCCTGACACAGACTTCACCAAGTCACACTTCAGGCATGTCTCTTGGTAAGAGCAAATGAACACACCGTCTTGTGCGCAAGAGCTAGATGAGGCCAATCTGATTAATATACAAGAGTCCTCCCTTTTCAGTAAATAATTCACTCTTTGCACGCCTCCAATCTTTGGACACGGTATATGTGAATCATCATTGTGAAAGGAAGCATATGCTTTGCAGAGCTTTCATAATAACAACTATTGCTTGGATGAAAGACAGCAACTAGTCAAGAAAAGGTAGTCATTCGTTTTCCTATGACGTGGGATTTCTTTGTGCAAATTGAAAGAAAACAAAAAGGCTGAAGCGAGACAAGCATAAGGCTGGTATCAAAAAAGTTGCGCGCGGACCTCTCCCTTCTTTACACATCGACACCACTCGCACATTATAAAACCATAAGAACACGTTCATTTCGATATTATTTCTTCCTTCGGATTTCATACACACACACTTAACCACCAGACGAATTTCATTTAGTCGTTTGTCTCTTGCATTTATATTGTTGAATTCGATTTGTTGCTTGGCATACTCATCTTTGCCCTAAAAGCATACATACAATACAACCTGACCCTCCAGATTATTCCACGTGCCATTAACAAACTAACTGAATGTATGACAAATGCTACAAATGCCTCAGACTTTTCCTCCTTCAGGAAGATAGGGCAAACTGGATGAGAAATGTTAAATGCGGTGATGCACACACGTACCAATAAATAAGTCAAATCAAACAAAAATCCAGATAAAAGTGACGCGTTTCACGACCACTCTGGAAATATTTTCGATAACCGGGAACTGCAGAACCGTTAAAGTTGTTGGATTTGCGGAACAAAGGCAGTGAAAAATACAAAATAAGTTAAGAAAGAACTATTAGATGAGCATACAATGCTAAAAGCTGCATCTTGATAAATATAATAAAGAGTTCGAAAAGGAGAAATGAAGGAGAAGAACCTTTTTTGATGGTTCATCGCCCTTCTAAATTTAACACACGTCAACTCGAATTTTTCCACCATATTTTTCTTTACGTGAGCAAAGATCTGCATACAAACATTTCCTGATGCATTGCAATATAAAAAGAAACTGTATCAGATCAAACAGAAACATTAGTGATAATAGTTACACAAGCGGCATACCCCACACACCCACACCCACCAAAGAACAGTATTGTCAGACATTATTTCTGAGTTGAATACGCAGCGGTCATATTTATCATATTTTTAGGAAGGAGCTAAACCACAGAAAACCAACTACGCTCTCCTTTTACCGTTACCTTTGGTGCATCAATATATATATATATATATATATATATATATCCTTGAACATAGGAAAGAATACAGATTTGCTTCCAATATACAATAACAAACGATTCGTGCAGCTTAATTAAATCCCCTAGTACAATAAAATTAAGGACAAAGACATATCTAGAGATAGCCCTGATCGATTTCTCTCCACCATTAGTGGTATAAAATTCACAAGACATTAACTAAATGTACAGTAGCATTTTATACTAATGATTGAATATCACACAACAAGTGAGTCAAAAGTTTAAGGCCCACAGGACCCTGTAGACCCCCAGCATGGAGGGTAAAACCCTTGTCTAGCGTTTTTCCTTTGTAAAGCATCATTAACATAAAACAAGCAAGTGGATTTTCGATATACTGATATTATACACTTAGACTCTATGATTGAGAGGCTGAAGCTAGGACTGAGGAGAAAGTAACACTGGCAAGGCCAATATAAACTTCATTACCAAAAGTGTGTTGATAATTCAAACTGTCCAAAAGAACCAACAAAGAGACGCTCTCGTGCGTAAAGCATACTTAGTGCTTCGCCTGCTGTTTTCACCTGAGCGTCCACCCCCCGCTCCTCACTTACAGGTGCATGAGGACCACAAATTTCAACTGACACAACCCGTATTTTATCGGGGCACATTCCCCATGACTTCCATTAAGCTATGTGTGCGCGGCACGTGGTCGGCGCTGATGGCGTTTTCGGCCTGCCCTGACGCGCGCTCGCGTGCCGCCAGATTCCGTTTCCCCCGAAGCGCCTTAAAACGCTCGAGCTCCGCTAGGAATATAGCGTGCATCTCATTCACATCTTCAATGCTTTCATCGAAGTGAAAGTGTGGACTGAGACCTTCGCGGAGGTCGAGTGGATCGAAGAGAGGAGCAAAGTACGGGTGCTGCAGCGCCTGTTCCGCACTAATACGTTTTTTCGGATTGAATTCCAGCATTTTACTTATTAGATCAAGGGCTATGGGGTCGGCCGTCGGGACTACCTCGTGCCAGGGGCGTGGGCGTAGGTGTGAGAGAGAATTGTGCAAATACTCTCGTGCTGACAGTGAAGAAAAAGACACCACTTCGTCCATGTTTGGTGTACCAACCACCTCCACGATCTTATTGAGCTGGTTGTAAAACGTGGAGCCGCGAAAAAGTGCTTTGCGATTGAAGAGCTCCGCCATAACACAGCCAGCCGACCACAGGTCTACTAATTTTGTGAAACCCTTAAATTGCATGACGAGCTCCGGTGCGCGGTACCAGCGGTGTGTAACGTAGTGGGTTTTGTTGGTATCTGCAGTATCCTCCCGAGCGAGGTTAAAGTCACAAATAGTGATGTCATTGTTTTCTGATAGGAGAATGTTGCCAGGATGCAAGTCACGGTGAACTACGCCGGCTTCGTGGAGAACATGCAGACCTAAGAGAATGTGGTACATGAAGAATTGGATGTGTTGAGGGGAGATTTGAATTCGTGGGTCGTGGATAACCTGGGCCAGGTCGCTGTGCATTAGTTCCGTTACGAGATACAGCTTATGTTGGCCTGCACCTTTTAGATCTACGAAAATATCCCGTAGGCCAAGGATATTCGGGTGGTGGAAGTGGTTCAACAGCCGAATCTCTCGAAGTACACGCTTGCATAGAAACGAGTCGGACAAAATGTTCACGTTATGGCCCTCCGACACGGTGTCAAAAACGCGCTTGATGGCCACTGGTCGGCCTTCGCTATCAGTACCAGCACATACGGCGCCATAGCTGCCACTGCTGATGAAGCGCTTGACAGTATAAGGAGACCGTGCGTTCTGCAGTTCAACAATAAGGTCACGCATTGCTGCTTCTCCCTTAGCTCTCATGGTGGACATTGCCGAAGAACGGAAAGACTTACAGTATCTTTTTTTTTAGATAGAAACTAGACTACACAGTGTTTGTAAAACTAATGAGGTGGTAAATATTTGACAAACTTTCGCTTATTTCTTCAATTACTACTCCAATATGAGGACTAACTTCAAATCTTCCTATTTTTTTAGCTTTGTAAATTCAAAAGTATGAATCGCTTCCGCTCTGACAAGGCACTTCTTTTGATTGCTTCGCTAAGATTTATAATCTTCACAAAACACGACGACAAACTAAACCTTGAAGAGGCACAAAATGATTAAAGAAGCTCCAAGAGGGTAAATAATAATAAGAGATTAATATACGTCTAGATGTACAATGAAGAAATATATAAACCTTATGAGTTTACGGTCTCTAGATCATTGAAATACATACAAGTAGAGATACACACAATATCGTCATCTACCACTCGGGATTTATGGCCTCCGAATCATAACGCCCCCCTTTCCTAAGGAGGAAAGTATGTTGTTTGCATTAAGAGTAATTTACATAGCTATGCTTCGACAAAGTTCTAAAGCTTCAATTATTTACAAGCACATGCAGAGGGATCCAGAACGGTCTGGCCTGTCTTGGCATAGATGCGTTTTAGCCCTGGACCGGCCCCACTGTAAAAGACACCTTTGAACACCTGGCCATCGGCGTCGATATAAACACCGTTGCCATGCATGCGATTGTGTCGCCATTCTCCATCATACCGGCTACCGTCTGCCCAAGAATAGATACCCTTTCCGTCAAAACAGCCGTCCCGGAAACCGCCTTCGTAAGAGCTTCCCGACTGTAGGAAGAACAAGTGCCCCTGCCCCTCCATTTTATCTTCTACCCATTCTCCTTCATAGCGGATCTGCGGGCTCGCATAAATGCCGTGGCCGTGCCGCACTACACGACCAGCATGCGTCTGACTATTCGCATGGCCCCCATCCACACCTGAAGAGACGACAGAGTGTGTGCTATTTTTGCTATGGCCGTTAGATTGGGCATGTGTGGATGGTCGCACTCCATCCGTGTTTGCGGTGACAGGATAGCGACGCACACCACCAGTGTAGCGTGCACTTTCATTTTCATGGATCAATGATCCCGTCCCATCTACAAACGCAGGTTCCTCAGGTTTTGACTCCTTTTTCTTAGCGGGCATCGGATTTGTCTTTACCTATAGAGACACCTATCTGCAACCCCCCTTTTTTAAAACAAAACGAATAGATAAAAAGTATCTGCCTTGGTGGCATCAGAACGCATGAAAGCAGATGTTGCCTATGCAGAGACCTCAAATAGAATATTTACGTGAAAAGGGCATCCCTTTTATTTTACTTTTATGACCACTTACCTCGTGGTAAAATGTGAAATAATCACTAATGCCCAAGCGATAAATCATCAAAGCCCAACGCACAAAGAGTTTTCCCAAACACAATTGAATCTTCGCAAACGTGTAACTGATAAGAATTTAAAGGCAACAGGTGAATAAGTAAAGCAATTAACTATTATTAATGAGAGGAAAGCATTGAGTGCACATATTTTTATAAATTATAGACTCAAATATAATTTTAAGTAGGATACATGCGGGGCACAATAGACCCCCTAAACAGAGTTTTAAATCTTCTTACGATTTCTTTGAGCGTCACCCGATTCACCCTAAAGTCTTGAGAACACCTCCACAGCGCGACCATCCACAAAAAACACTGTATAGCCAACGGGGATATCGCCACGCCTGCTGAGCTGACTGTGATCCATGGAACAAACTCACGCCCCACCTCGTAAGCTGGGCAACACGCCCTTTCGAAAAATAGATGAGCCCACCCTGAGGGTGACATTTGCATCCTGGTCAGTCTCCTTGACAATTTACATGTCACGAGATGAGCAACTATAGGGACTTGCTGACGTGATGGAGTGACTCCTCACGGCACTGGTATACCTTAGATGTGTGTCGCGACCCCGCCGGTCGTGACGACGGTGAGTTTGAGTCTGCAGATTTTTAGATGACATTCGAGAAATCCAATCACTAGTACAGGAGCCACTCAAGAGCGGCGATTTATCAGGAACATCTTTGAAAGGTCGATGCGCTGACGTTTCGCTATTTTCGTCCAAAATCTTAGCCAGGTGTCGCGCTGCAGCGGCAACAGGGTCATGTATCGACTCCCCTTCCTTTAGTACATTCTCTACTGAACTCGCTGCAACGAAAGAGCGCGTCTCCTGTGGCGTCCTACCGGTTGATAGTGAAGGATGTGTCTCAAGGAGCTTGCACCGTGTGCGCACAAGACGCCGCACCTCTGATAAATCACATGCGTCAAGAGCCGCAAGGAGTTCTATATAAAAGACACCATGACTGTTGGGTATTTTGTCCTCAGTACCAGACGGTGGCATCGTTGCCAGCACTTTCATAGGGGATTCACCCGTATTACCGCTGGTAAATGAACTGTCAGGCAGCCTAGTAGAGTCAAAGGCAAGGCATAATTGCTCAAGGCGCTGTTGGGCGGTGCGGAATTGATGAGCAAGTTCGTTGACCTGTCGCTGGAGGCAGTTAAGTTGGTAGTCAACATCCAGAAGGGTGTTTGAAGTTCGCTCTCGCTGAAGCCGTACAGAATCGATTTCGTCTCCTCTATAATCCTCATCACTCATCAAGGATGTAGCGAGATTCATCTGCATTTTTAAGCTCGTGCACGATGCTTGCCGTGTTTTGACACACGGTGAACAGGGAAGTGGTGGGCGCTCTGGCGACGAATGCGTCTGTACCGCAGATGCCTTTGGGAAGAAAGCCTTGAGTTGGATGGCTACTTCCTCCTTTATAAACTGTGAGAGCTGCAGCAGCAGCTCTGCCTCAACTTGTGCACGCATCACCATCACTAACCACTCCACATCCTTGGAAGACAATCTGGTATCAGTCCCTGATCCAGAGAACCCATCCCCAAGCCACAACTGCGAATTCAGATTGTTGGATCGGACGGCTGAGGAAGTACCAGTATTCACTTGAGCAGCAGCTTGACTGCTTTGTTTTCCAAGCAAACGTGGAAGACTCTTCTTTTCAAACCGATGAAGTGCATCATCGATCATACATTTTACCTCTAGTGATGAGGGGAAGCTTCGCAAAAGATCAAGGAAGTCAGACGTTTGGAGAGAAGAAATTCCAGATGCCGCGGCAGCCATAATCTTGCCATCATCTGAGCCTTTGCCCAAATTGCTTTCTCTGTTAATCATTATTGCCTAATCAAAATGAGGATCCTTATCACCTTCCTTTATCGCGGAGCAGAGTAGGAGAGAAAAATTGAATAAATATAAAGCTGAGGCTTCGTATGTACGCCCCAAATGGCTTTCCCTTTAAAGCTATCGAAGCAATGTGGACTCGAGTCTTTCCTTTGCTGTTTTCGTTCTTGCTCTTTTCTATGCACCTCTTTAATTACAAAGGTTCCTTTTAAAACTCAGAAATCCAACGCTGAGAAGCAAAGGCGAAGAGAGTAGTTATCCACGTTTATTTTAGACTATCATTAATTCGTTATCTAGAATTCATTTAACAAAGTGAAGCTGGTGCTCAAGAAGCCTCGCACATGCATTTGTGTTACTTGTTTTCAAATATAGATGAACATAATACACAGGGATGAGGAAATTATGTACATGATAGATCACCGAGAACAAAGACTAGTCAAATCAACAAAGTAAAACGGTTGCATTTGAAACAGCTCAATCTCATAAAGGCAAATAAAAGCGACAGAGAAAAAAGAGGAGCGCGTAGGTGTCAACCCTCGCGTTTAACAATACATATACACACTTCAGTTTGCTACATGTACCATACATCAGCAAAGGAAAACGGGGTAATGCCTTCCAATAAACCTATTGATGCTCGCGCCGTTCACGTTGTGCAGCGTTGTAGCGATCGAGACGATCTCTTACCTGCGCTTGACATGTGTCTGAGCACGTATGAAACACAAAAGGCAATTCGACATGCTGACAGAGCCGATGAAACGAAATAAAGGTACGATAATTCTGTGTCGGAATGCAGCAGTTTACGCACTCTATGCTGGATAGACAGGGTGAAAGTGTCACGTCAGGTGTACCTTCGATTTCTACCGGATCGTAGAAAGGATTGTTCTCCAACGTTAATTCCTTCAGATGCTGTAAAAAAAGTAGTCCACCGGGCAGCACCTTCATATTATTATTTTCGACATTTAGCTTTTTCAAGGATTTAAGCCTTGACGCTTCGAAAGACAGGTACTCAAGCTGATTATTCGCTAAGTTAAGGTGCTCGAGCCTACGCAAACAACCTAAACGTGGATCGACGTTTTTAATGCGGCAGTAACTCGCATCTAGAACGCGTAGAAACAAGAAATCACCAAGAAAGCCAGGAAGTGCTCTCAAATTGTAGTTGTTGTCTATAATGAGCAACTCAAGCTGACTTCGTAGCACTTTAATACAGGGTGGAAGCTCGTGGAGGCTGTGTTCATGCCGGATGATAAAGCCTGATGCTTCAGAGTCATACGCACACCGTACTTTCTCCTCAATGGGATTGATTACAGCTGTCCCTTTGACTTTGGCATAAGCCTGGTAGCTGTGAGTACGTGGAACGAGCATGTAAAGCTGTTTCTTATTCTTCCTATAGACACCCTCAGATTTCAGCTAAATCCATCGGGTAAAGTTGAACAGTTAAATAGAGAGAAGGCAAAACAAAAAGTCGAGCGCATTAAACAGAATTAGCGGAATTTGGATATTCGGTACATGTGCATGTACACATATAAATGAGATAAGAAAGGGTAAAATGAGTTTTACAATGACAACAGCATCGATTTTATTCTCCTCTCAATATTCTCCACACACACGCTTCCAAGATACTTTGCATTCAAATGAAGACAAGAACAGCCATGTGCAATATCCAAATTGCAAATGAGCGTCCACACTGCATTGCGCGGTTCAAGGTCATCAGTGACACTATGTTAAACACCACGAGGAGGGCACTATTTGTGGTTGGTAAATTACTAATCCATATATATACTCTCATGATTCCATACGAGAGGGCATCCTAATGGTATTTTTGTCCCCACCTATAGACTGAGTACCCTCTACGCGTGTACCATCATCAAGATACCACATTTAGCCTTAAGACCGCAAAGCCGAGCGGCTTTTATCAGGAAGTCAGCAGCAGGACTCACTAACCATAAAGCTAAGTATACTAAAAGGTAAAGGAATTCTTTATCCCTCTCCCCAGATCAAAATGAACGCGTTTTTCCCTTATTAACCTAGTCTGATAAACTTTGATGCATCGATGATTGTATTCGAATAATGGCACACTAATTTCTTTTGAACTTAGTTCAAGAAATACAAAGAGAAATAGATAGAAGTACTGGAGATCATAACATTACTTATTTTAATTATTTCTCTTCAAGGGAGCAAAGGGTCAGGCGTCTATGCTATCTAGGATGTCATTTTCGTTGCGCAGGTGCGCGATTGAGGAGGAATTCAATGTAATATAAAAAATTAAAATAGAAGTGAAAGGGTATCTCCAGCGACCCAGTCAATGCAGCTGGTAAAAGCTTCTCTGTAACTCTCCTGACAGGCTTTATGCTTCTGGTTTTGTGAGACCACTAAAATCACCTAGATTCGACAGTTACTCCTAAACACAAAAAAAGGGCGGAAAAATTGAATTCCGCATTAAGTAACGAAGCAAACACACATATATATAAGCTAAACTGACTTGATAAATGGAAATGAGGTTGAGCCCCAGAAAGTATCTGAACCATTGATAAGAGAGAAACCGAGGAACGCTCTTAGAAAGTCCGTTTACAGATCACATACGGACGTCAGGGGTAAATGTAAGACAAATCTGAATGCACAACAAGAGTAGTGAAACGCTGAAAGTAATCATCAAATGTTGGAAAGTAAGCACGCGATGCAGATGGATAAAATCATTCTCAAGCTATATCAAGCGAACAACATCTAGAAGACACATTAGAGGCATCATCCTATAAATTTCCTTTTATATTCCACTAAAAGCAAATGAAATTCAGCAAGTGTTGAATGATATTGACAGAGCCAAACCACTTTATCAATGGTGTCAGAGTTTAGTATCATGAGCGAAACGAGGAGACCAAGAGACTCTTACCTTTCTGGTTCGCATGTTAGGCTGTGTGGGGGTACCGCTGCGGTAGTCAAACCAAAGGCGGAGCTCCGATCGGGATGCACAGAATCACGCCCTCCCTCATATCTATCCCTCGGTGTTTCATACGGTATCATTCGACCGTACGGGCCCACGCTGGTCCTGATTGCCATCTGAGGGAGTGCCACCCCCTGCGGATGACGTCATAATGCGCACAACTCCAAAAAATATTGTAATGAGTTAAGGAGAGAGCGGTAAGACAAGCACTTTAAGTCCCTACACTCCCTTTAATAAAGCTCCGGCAATATAAACAGTCTACACCCACTCAGATATTCCCCCCCTCCTCGATTAATTCAGCGGCATAGAAGTCGGCGTCGACTCATTGGAAAGACATTTTTGGCCATACTTTAGTGTCGTGGCTTCTAGAATTAGTGGCCGCGGTGGAGACATTCGGGCTGTGTTCTGAACGCAAATCGTGGGCGTATGCATCACAGTACCGTGATGTACAACAGACGTGGGTAGGGCAGTATCTAACACAGCGCTCAGATTGTTTTTTGAATCTCTCTTACCTACAGCTGGCTGAATCGAACCCGGCATAAGGGTATCGCCAGTAACGTCAGTCAACGGGTATTGGTTCGCGTTCATTTCCAGACGGGCATTGTGATCGGTAGTGCTGATGGATGCAGGTTGTGCACTGCTTTCTTTGGCTGACCCCATATGCGATGAGATGATGTATTGATTTGTATGAGGGTCAAGTGTAATGTCAGACAGGTTGGCTGTTGCAGTAACCTCCAAATCTGTAGCTTTATTCGCGAGAAGATGTGGGTCGGGACTGGACTTATTCATGCCGGACACGGGTAGAACGTCCACAACATTATTGATTGGCAAGTCTTGCATAGGTGGCGACAGGGCCTGTCGCTGGTTCGGGGACCGTGAAGAATCAACACAGGTGGCAGCAGAGACCTGGACCTTCGAGGCAGCAGAGTTGTATCCCAGAGCATAATGCTGGCCTTGCACACATATTCTATTAGAGGCGCCTTCGAGCAGACTGTCATTATTGCTAGAGGTTGTGTATGGAGTGAGAGAGTCATCAGGGTGAGTCTGGCAGTTGAGGCGCCATTCGGAATCTATCTCCATGCCATGAATCCCTGTAAAATCTTTGGAAGGCTTTCCAGGCTCACGTTGTTTTTGAACAACAAAATTGTTATCTAGTTGATCATGCAGCTTGTGTTGTTCTAGCTGGACGTGCTTCTCTAACCGTTTACTCGTTGATGCGTAGCGATCGACAGTTTCCATGGCCTCCTTACGTAATCCTTCCACTACCGCGATCTCACGCTCTAGATAGTGTAGCACCTCATGTGGATTGTGTGTAGACTCCACAACAGTACGCTCAGGACGATCACCCCTAGATTGTCGCGCACCATCACATGGGATCTGATTCGCATCCGACCCCTCGTTCCATGAGGTTAATTCAGGCTCTGAAACGGAACTGTCTTGCCTTGACATAACTTCTGAGTGAAGTGGAGGGGGATGAAATAGGGCAGTAGTGTAGTGGCACGCAAGTTTCTGAGCCTCGTCAACTAGGTCCTCTAACTGCAAGAGGGAACTTGGCTGACCAAGCAGGCGTTCCTCTAGCTGTTGGCGCTGTGAGTTGAGTTGAAGGAGCTGCTGCCGCATGCGAGACTCAATCGCCTTCTCCTCTTGCATGAGGTGCTGGGAGAGCGTGGCGATGTTGCGCTGCATCTGTTGCAGCCGAGCCTCTTCAATCAATTTTTGACGTTCCACTGCGCTGAGATGAGTAGCAAGCTTTGCTTTCTGTCGTTTCGCAGCGTCCAACTTCCGCATAATGCCATTCGTGATGCTTTCCTGTCTCTGTTCAACCAACATGTACGTCTCGTTCATCCCTTCACGCAGCGCAGCATATGAATCGCGTGCCCGCATGATACCCGTCTTTGAAACTCGGTTCCCCGTATGTAGGTCCTCCACCGCTTGTCGGAGGTCCTTGATAGACATCGCCTCGGCCTCCATCTCATATTGGTCTAGCGGTGGCTGCACCGGCGTTGGCTCTTCACGTGGAGTGCACATCGTGGTCGTCGGTAAACTCTGTACAGTAAATGACCTGTCCTGCTCAAAGAGACCAACAATGAGCGGTGGGGCCGCAGTAGTTTCGCCTGTGGGGGCTCCTACGACATGCGGCTGGTAGGTGTGGATGGCTGCCGCGTGGACGCGCTCTCTGCTTGTACCGCGCTGCGGGATAATTCTATGAGATGACTGTGCCGTGTTTGAATCCATACTGCCGCTCATGGGCCGAATTCCGCGCGAGCTGCGGGCGTCTACAGCTTCCGAGTGACGTGAGCTCTCCCTGGTGGCAGTAGTACTGGAAACCGAGCGCCGCACAGAAGGCCAGCGCATCGAGGCGGTCAGGTTTAACTCTGGCAAGTTAGCGGTAATCCGAGGTGGCGTCGTGGTGCTAACGAAGAGTGCGCCTGAGCTGTTCGGAAGGCTTCCCTGGCAGTTCGTGGGATGAATTGCTGACAAGTTAGGCGTGTGGTTCGACATAAATGGTTGAGTCTGCTGTTGCTGGTTGGGAGAATGCCCAGCTTGAGTGTTGCACGTTGGCATAACAATACCAGAATCCAGATATCTCAGCTACCGTTCCGCTTTTTCCACTTTGTCTGGCTTCTTAGACTGCTACCCTTTTTATATGCACACTAAATTATTCAACTTCTTTGCACAATCTGTGAAAGTAGTGCAAGCAAATAGAAGCCAAAGGAAATTAAAGATTTCGATTTTTTAATAAAAAAGAAAATTGAAGCTTAAGGGAATGGAAATAATCGAAGGAAATATTTCCAATAAAATTGAGGTGAAGGAAAAAGAAGTCTCTTTGCCCATGTAGCCATAATTCAACGACCCATCGGCACTCAAATAAATCTGGGGGAATGAAGAAACTCCCATATGAAGCTATGAACAGCCAAAAGATGGAATAAATATATATATATATATATATATATTAACAATGCTTTTGAGATGAATTCACAGAAAACATAGTAAAAGGAAGAAGTAAGCATAAAAGTGCGACGCCATTGCTATTGCGCAGTTGTACAACTCACATCTCGACTCATATCTATCATACTGTATACAAACAGTAATGTCAGTTAAGGGGTATAGAGGATAGTATTATTGATATAAACAAATATGTGTGTATGAATTAAAGGCAATACCCTTCGGCCTCGTTTCCCGTATGATAGCATAAGGTTGGTATAGATGAAAGCGTTTTGGGACGCGGAAGCGGGCTCTACTTATAACATTTTAAACATATGAACTCCCAAATAAACCCGCATTAAAATCAAACAAAAAAAAGAAGAAAAAATCAACAAAAGTTGCAATACGAAAAATTTTTTAAACACTGTTACCGCTTTTTAGTTACTTTATTTACTGCAAAACAACACTAGGATTATTCCCTAAAATGTACAAACGCGAATGCAAACATATATATATATATATATATATAAATAGATAAATACACCTAAAAAGATCGCAAATGGGCATCCGTAGCAAGGCGAACATCTTGTGGGATTGGTGATCCTACTCACCTCACAGGCAAGGAACATTTAAAGTAGGCACAATGATTGTGGTCTAAAATAATTCAACGTGTATGAAACATATGAATAAAAAAAAGAACCACATCTGAAAATAATTTATAAAAGTAGTACAGAAAATAAGGCTATTTTTCATTCTTTGTGTGATGCTTCTCTCAATTTTCTTAAAATTAAGAAAAATATACTATCTTTAGCTTTCCTCTTCCTGTTCTGAGTCTTGTTCATAATCATAGATTTTATATTTAGTATGATTCATTTCCACTATTTATTTACTTCGCTAACGTTTTTAGGCTGTTGGTTATACGCATTTCTTTTCATCCAAACATAAATCTTCGTATTATAGAGCCCTTATCTATCTCTTTAATAGTGTTGTCTTGTAACAAAACACATAGTAACAGCTTACTTTTATATTTTATACAATTAGTGTTTCCCTTTCTGGTGTCCGTCCCACTTCTCAATCTATTGAGTTTTAATTGATAATCATTGGCTCCATAATTTCGCACTAAGTGGGAAATAACGACGATTACCATTTCTTCGCAGTTTATTACACTCTATTACGATTAATACAGTTTCATTATTTGTATTTTTGGCTCTATCCCATCTGTGTCTGTCTCCTCTAAATGTCAATGATCATGCACGTACATAAAAATGGGCAAATAATAAGGTAATGAATGATTAAGTGAGACTGGAGGGCTATTGTTGCCCACAATCCAACTGCAGCGTGACTAAACAAAGAATTATAACTTTATCACAAAATGCAGGAGTTTGTTTAGTTGTGAAACTTCCATTGAGATGTTTCTGGACGAAAGGGGTAAAATTGAGAAGAACTTGGAACGGCATTTGTTTTTCTGGAAAAAATCTACTCAAAAAACACAAAATCACGAAGCCTCTCTCAATTTTAAGAAAATCAATTAGGTAAGAGTATGGATGTTACAAAAAAAAAAAATGCACTGAGATTTTTATACTGCGCTGTAAGGTGGTGGTGCCGCTGTGTAGGAGGGTGTTCCACGAGATGACGCAATACTCTGCGTGTATACTCCTCCAGAGAAAAAGGGAGTGTTGACTGCGCCTCCGTTACATCCCGCGACCATACTGTAATGTGGGGGATCACCGTAACTGGATGCGCAAGTGTGCTGAGGATGGGTCTGCGTTGAATTTCCACCTAGAAACATGGTACTAGGTGACGGCCCTGCAGCAGCCGGCAGCGTGTACCGCGGGAGTGGTGAAATCGGAGGGGAGTTGCTTGCCGTGGGCGGTGTGTATTGCATTATTTTTTTATTTGCAACAGGTTTAAGCAGGAATACTCCATTTAGATTACGTAGTATAATGCTGTCAGCGGGCTGTGGAGTAGCTGAGGTGGAATGCATATAATTGCCCACCATGGGTGAATTTTCCAGCATCGACATTCTTGGCATTGACAAAGGGGTAGTTTTCGCAATGGCCTCCGCAAACGATGGCGGTGCCTTCACTGAAGTAATTGCAGGGCTCACATGAGGAATCCCAGAGTAGGGAAACACACTTGCCCCGATGATGGGTGTGCCACCGTATACCGGTGGTGGCGGCGGTAGCACACCATGTAGTACTGGGGTTTTCTTTTCAGGAACCGTACTGCTTCCCTCCACTATAAACCCATTGTTGCTTTGTGAGGCGTTACAAGAGGGACCTGTCGGGAGCTCACCGTAGGGGTTAGACGGGTCGTCGAGGACATTGGGTGCATAAATAGAAAACGTTGCCAGGGGCCCCTTCTCACTCTCATTCGAAATGGCATCGTCGTCAGACGTGGCCACTTGTGTTGCTTCATTCAGCAGCCGTTGCAGGATCTTGTTGTTTCTTTCAAGATCATCATTATCTGAAAAAAGGCTCCCTGAACGGGGGGAGATGACCGTAGTGTTAAATGAGATAAGGGTAGTTGCAGTAAGTCCTTCTGTGCTAATGTCCCCTCCTACACCGGTAGAGTGCACGGGCGATGCCGCTGTTGACATATTACATGAACCGCCCACTGCGGGGCGTGCTTTCGGCATGGCCTCGGAAATTTTAATGTTTCCTTTAATTTTTCGACTTTCTACCAAGCAAAGAATGAGAAATAAGAAAGGTGACTAAATACAAAACTAACTGTAATAAATTGCTTTCTAAATATTTACTTTCTTATAGCTCATGCTTATTGAGGAGTAAGAGAGAAAGGGAAAGAGAAAGAGAAAGGGAGAAAAAGGGAAAACAAAGGCGAAGCTGAAATTACATAGTACGTTATCGAATTCTGCAAAATTTCCTCAAGTGAAGATGAATGTAATGCACTGGGTCTAATTCGTATTTCTCTAGATAAATTGAGTGCCTCGTGGTAAGGTGTTAATTTTTGTAGTTGACAATACGTCTCGTTCTATGAGAAGATGATCCTAGGGTAAACTTACAATACACGGTGATGCTTTCCTCGAGTAACCGAATTCACATCAGTGAAATAATAATACATATACACATCGCTTTAGATTAAACTCATACCTCAGTGTTATTACACTCTGGCAATGCAAACCACTTTATCAATGGTGTCAGAGTTTAGTATCATGAGCGAAACGAGGAGACCAAGAGACTCTTACCTTTCTGGTTCGCATGTTAGGCTTTGTGGGGGTACCGCTGCGGTAGTCAAACCAAAGGCGGAGCTCCGATCGGGATGCACAGAATCACGCCCTCCCTCATATCTATCCCTCGGTGTTTCATACGGTATCATTCGACCGTACGGGCCCACGCTGGTCCTGATTGTCATCTGAGGGAGTGCCACCCCCTGCGGATGACGTCATAATGCGCACAACTCCGAAAAAGGGAATAATAGGAAGCCTTTTCCCAATAATAGGAGACACGGCATCTAGAGCGTTACATGGTGTTTGCATCGCTAATTGGAAAATAAGGAGATTGCATTGTCTTCAGCAGCAGAACTGGCAATTATACCAGGATGTGTTGCTGAAAAGTTCCTGCGCTATTTTTAACAAGCATAAAAGACATGTATTTATCTATATTCAGAAAAGAAGGAAACGAACCCACTGGGCAAGCAAGCATATATTCGGAGCAAACCCTCGAATTCACGAAACACACAAACGTTGCGACACTTGAAGCAGCAGAAGAATCTTTTAATCAAAAAATGACGAAGAATTCCACGCATAAAAAAGGAAAGATGCAAGTGAGTAAAATTATTCCTATACGCAAGAAGATATGAAGTAAGACATAAAAATAATCGTCATGCAACAAAACTGATGAATCAAAGTAACGGTGAAACCGGAAAAGTTTGTCTTGAAATTCAATTTAAATGAAGAGCAAATTGCATGTGCATTTAAGGAAACAAAACATACAAAAATTATCTTTTTTTTCCGTATTATTACTCTCTATTTGAACGAAGGAGGAGTAAAATAACTTGGCCCATCCCTGTCTGATATACTAGCTTGCGAAGTTGTATATCGGTATGCTGTATTTCTTGTCCTGAACCTTGCTATCATTATCCTGAGTGGTATTGTCCACTGATGGAGCGAAATCGTAGGTCGGCTTCCCAAACTCAATGGCATGATTATCAGATAATGTTGTTGCAGCATTCGCCTCAACTGCTGTTGTTTCTGCATCATCTGACGGGCCAAAGTTAAACTTTGGGCGTAGAGGTGACCTGACATTCGTGGCGTCTTCCAAACTCAATGCGTCCTTAATGGTACCTTCGAACCCAAAATTGGAGAATAGTTGTGCAGCAGCCGCATTACTTGGCTCGTCGACATTTGGCGGTGGCGTGAAATAGTCCATTTCATCGTAGTACGGATCAATGTGACCGTCACTATTCGCGGAAGGCACATCTGAGGACTTGGCTTGGGTAGGTTCTGACAAAACATTTATACTCAAGCCCGGCTCTACAACGGTATTGATGTCGCCCACTAAGGGACCGACCGGCGAGTTGGGCACAGCAGATTCTGAGTTGGAACGTGCGAACATTTCAGTATTCAGTCCGGTGGGTTTTAGAGGATCCTGATACTGAGGCTTTGTATTGCTTTCTTTAGTCTTTACATTCTTTGATTCAGCTGCTTTGAAATCCCCCATCGAGGGCAAATCTTTACCGCTAAAAAGGTCTTTTGGGGTGCGACAATCCGAGGATGAGCTCGATTGCGTACGTTGAGGCGCTACAATCGGCTTTGGGTCATTGGAAACTAACACGTTTTTAGCGACACGGCCCTCGCCCAAACTTCCAACCCCAGCGTCGCTGAAGAGATTGTCGATTGTGGACTTATTGTTGGTCTCAGGCTGAGGTGGATTCTTACTCCGTGCCCACGATAACACATGAGCTGCAGCAGTGACAACCATGTGACTCACTTGGGCCCTCAGCTGCTCTTGCTCCATCTCGAGCGCTTCTATGTGCTCGTTGATGCCCTTAACTTCACGACCAAGGGGTGTACCGGAATTGTCTCGACTAAACAAAGCCTTCTCATTAGCCTCTTTGGTCTGTTCAAGTATTTTAATTTGTCCATTCAGCGAGTCGACCTTCTCCAGATTGGCCATCAGTTCCGCGGTCACGTCGGTCTTATGCTGGATTCGGCCTAGGGCCAGCTGATTTTGCTCTAACTGATGTATTTGCTGCCTTAAATCCTCGATGCGACTAGTGGTTCGAGCCAATTGCTCTTGCATCGTGTTCTCAGACTGAATCGCCATTTTATCTGCGAGAGGGATGCCGCTCATCAGTGCCATCTGGCGGAGGTAAGCAGCTGTTGCACCGACGTAGTTATTTCGAAATTTTCGTGCAAGTGCCACGAACTGAGCCTTAACGACATCGCAGCAGCGGACAGTGACTGCTTTGCTAGCCATGCCTTCCAACCGCGCAAGTTTGTTGCGCTTCTCTTCTAGTTCAATTACCTTTAGCTCACTCTTAGACGCAGTTATTGGTGCGCCTTCGGGATCTGCCTGCCTTTTCCGCTCCAGCATGGTCTCCAGGGATATGAGCAACGTCATCGCTTCACCACGAGACATAACTGACACTTTACCTACAGGCCCTTCAACTTGATCAGGCTGCTGTGGTTTGATAATTGTATCAAAAGACAAAGGTAGCCCATTCTCAGGGTAAACTAAAATAGCCACTTTCATTTTTGCGCCGACACCATAAATTTGTATAGGAGCATCAATTACACCAGAGCCAGAGTTGTCGTACAGTCCCAAGACATTTGAACAGTCCACATTCGTTTCACATACCATGCGTCGCGGCACTCCGATAATATATTCTTCCAGTCGGAATAAAATGTATTTGGGTGCAAAGCGGCGACTCACCCCACCGTTTTTGAAATGAATAATCGCAGCACCTTCTGGCATCATTCTGAAATCCACTACACCATTTCGAGCTGTGTAGCAAGGAGTAGAGCGACGTGTATCTCCACGACGGTAATATATAGTATACTGTTGGCCGTCCTGTAATGCACCGCACTCCACAGAAATCACCTTGAAGCGTACAATGTGCGTCATCTGAGGCATTTTTATTGTTTATGTTTCACTCTACAATATGTTTCGAAATGAAACTGAATAGTCGATGACGCAATCACGCTTACAAATATGAAGAATATTTCTAAATTATCCTATGTAAATATATTTGCGCCAAATACTTAAAAAGCAAGTCCAAATATTACTATCAGTAACCGATTGCCTAGTTTTTGCTTAAAAATAAGAGAGGATGTACAGCGAAAGTGCTGATTGCAGCAAATATGAAAATTCTCTGCAGGGTTTTATTAATATGAGTGTATCAACAAAACCATGCATTATTCACTTCACCACATTTTGTTGATAATAAGCTACAGTAGAAAATGGCAAGATCCATTAAGTGAGAATAATATTTTCCATGCTACTGACGATATCAAAGTCGTGATGCGAATGCAGCAGCTATGACAGTGATTAACCTCGAAAGAGTAAGTATAAAAATGTATATAATTACAATCAATCCAAAAACAGAATATGTATAGCTCTAGAATTGTCTTTGGGAAATACATAATCAAATTTTGTTACATAAACAGATGAGTGGATAGAATACCATTCATATTCAAAAGAAAAAGCTCCCCAATATATGATATGTATAGAAATCCGCTTTCCTTTCTTCTTAGGCATTCTCTATTTAATTTATTGCTTGGTGAAACTTTGAGCTTCGAGCAGAGTAAGTGAAGAGAAAAAATCCCGAAATATGCACACGGTTAGTGAGAAAGGGTATCAAGATAAAGAAGCAGATATTTGTAGTACAAAAAAAGAAACAACCAAGTAGCAAGTAAACTTAAATAGAGATAAGAGGCAAAATAACTACGAGCCTTAAAAAAAATGAATAAATTCATTCGGAACCAATAAAACTTTCCGTAAAAGCTACTATAACTAATTTTCTCTCTACAACTATTTACTTCGATGAAACACTGGATATTTTAAATAATTTCTACACTTCTTCTTTTTAGATATGCTTATTCATTTAGAAAGCAACATTGCTATCGAAACATACAAATCAGATTATTGAATACATTGCCAGATTTGATTTTATTAAGCATCCTAGGTTGGTTCCACATCTTTTGTATACAATTTGTAAGTGAACCCCAATAATTTTGAATCTATGATAAAGCTAATTGTGTATGTTTATAAGCATTTTAAAAATATAACAACAATCGGATCTATGAAAAAGGTAGATAGAGCATCTGTTAAAATGGAGACTCAATAAGAACGACACATTCTTGGAAAAAAAATGTGCTATTGAACCACATAATGCATCACGATACATCTTTAAGTCTTTTTTCTCCATGTGTCACAAGTCTTCAAGAAATGAAGGGGTCTATGGAACAGGGGTGGGTGAACAGTGAAATATAGATATATATATATTTAAGTATTTTCAATACAAATTGAAAAGTAAAGAAATCAGAAAGCACATAGACAAGCTATTTGAAAAGATAATGCATTTTTTCCCATACTTTGAGATTTCAAATGGGAAAAATACTAAGATAAAATACTACAAAGTAATTCTAAGCGATGATTCTATGATTTTATAAACCAGTTGTGAAGGGGATAAAAAAAATGTTGTGTGTATGCATATATGTACTAATTTAATTTTTTGCTGCATGGTATTTCTTTTAGAAAGTACGAGTGGTAATTAACTCTTGTGTACTTGTTCTGGATTATAGAAGGAGAACAAGGCACTAATTTATGAAGCACTTTCACTTAAAAATAAACATTAAAAAGCATAATTGAACAGTGAAGAGTAAAATTAATCAAAAAGTGGTAATGGTCTAGGGAAGGGGTGAATGAAGATAAAAAGCACTGCAATTTATTCGCGACGTCGGTTACAATTATTATTATTTTTATTCCGAATATTCATTTTAGATTCATGTTGGCGGCGCTCGACATGTGTTTTAGAACCGTTAGAAGTACTCTGGACGTTGCGGTTCAGCTGATGCATCCAAATACGGCACTTATAGTGTGTGTGCAACATGCGCGTAAGGATGTTAAAGTCTACATAGGAGTCACTTTTGAACTGTACAGTAAGTTTCTTGCGATCATACTGGAAAATTGCGCGCTCAATAGTGATTGGTGCTTTCAAGTCGGCCCTCGCTAAACATTCTTGGCAGCGGGATAAAGCCTCCTCCTCAGCCTGGGAAAGCTGTTCGTAGCGTGCGATGTCTAGGTTGTTTGCGTGGCGCAACACCCTTGGCGAATTCATATTGATTTCAGCCTTACTGTTATTTTCATGCCCACTCGCGTTTTTTTGCTTCTCCGGTGTTCTATCAGCTGCTTCTGTGGTTATGATTTGATTTGAATTGACAGCCGATATGACACCCATATCTTCACCACGGTCTCCCTCAACAATCACATAGAGCCCGACTAAATCACTTATCTCTACCTCCGATGGGAAAATTTCGTAAACATCGGGTATGATAAATGGCGCCTCACCGCAGCGAAGGGCAACGGTTACCTCCACAGAGTGACGACACAAGACTGGGCGCGGTCGTCCACCAACATAGATCTTCCCAATGTTCTTTGAGGGCATACTATTTGGAGAATTGTCAAGCTTAGACGAATTAATACCCTCTTCTAGAGGGTTTAAGGTGTTGTTGAGAAAATCTTGGGAGCGAAATAATGAACGATTGACCGATGCCGTTGTGAGTTCCTCCTCCTCCTGCGCCTGATACGGTGCGAGGGGGCCACAATTAACGTTTGGTTCAACAAAGGGAGTGCTCAAACCACTATAAGGAGTTTGATTGACGTAGTAGGACATGCTATCTGGGCTACATCCTTGAACCAGCGAGTCTGTCGAAAATGGCGACATTGTCGAATGAACAGAATCCTCTGGAGCAAGCAAACAACAGCTGTAAGGATCATGGCGAATTTTTGCGATGGGCTTTGAAACCATGATATTATTTGCCCTATTGAATGCCTGAATCGTAGATTTAGTACAATCAGTAAGAGTCGAAAACATTACGTTAGAAAATAAAAATATCAAATAATGGTCTATGTTTTTCTAAATAAAAGTACGGTAGTGTCAAAATTCAAGTATAGAGAATGTATATCGTGTATTTTGCACCTCAAGTCAATTTGCTGTAGAATTTAGAGATAGTGAAGTATAAAAAAGGATAGCTATGGAAAGTTCAAATCTAAAGCTTCAGTAATAGATAAAAAAGAAAGTAAAGGCGGAGCAAAATGCAAGATGGACTAGATACAATGAAATTGTGCATATGCTTTGGGTACGGGAGCAACTCATATAGAGAGGGGATGGGTAGGGAAGGAAAACAAGTCCAGGAATTAATCAGAAAAACGCGGATGTTTCTAGTCAAAAGTCCATCAAGAACACAATTATTTGAGTATTTGTTTTTCAAGACTCAGTCTTTATGAGAGTCTTGAGCAAACCGAGGCGACCGGGAATTACCACATGCCATCCAGGTGATCCCGTCTGCATCAAGTAGCTGAGACCGTCCATAGGTTGACGACATTATCATCTCCACCTGTAGCTAACAGCAAGCCCTGACTTTTGAGACCATCACCCACACCATCATCATTATCCGCATATAACTTACCAAATGAAGAAAAAGAGACAGAGTTAACATCTGCTTCATGCGCTGCAACCACTTTCGTGGCAATCTGCGCATGCAAACCCGCAGAGTCTTGGAACAGAATCAGCAAGGTAACGCTATTATCACCACTACCGCATGCTACCAGGGGCTCACCATGCGGGGCCCAGCTCACAGAGTAAATAGGACGCTCTGCAAATCCGGAGCCACGGGCTACGTTCTCGAACTTGCCGCTTGCATTTCTCTTCCAGAATGAAACTGTACGGTCATCTGAGCAGGCGCAGAGTAGCGGCTGGGGGGTGCACGCGTTACATGCCTCGTTGCCACATTCACCTGATTCACGTCCTTCTTCATTCACAATGCAGTATTCCAAGCGTTGGAAGGCCATCATCCACACAGTTCCCTCATGTTCCTTTAGGGTTTGTATGCAGTGCCAGTCATCTTGGCGATGGGAATCACACCACACACGAATAGTGTCATCATAGCCACACGAGAGGACAAGGGGGTGCTGATTAGAATTGGGTGAAAGATACCACAAACAGTGCTTGACATCTTGCGTGTGACCAGTCAGAATGCCACAACATTCATACTCACCGTCAGCGATCCGCTCCCACACCCACACCGTGTGATCACGCGAGCACGTTGCTAAGATGTTGTCTGTTGCCCACTCCACACACTTTACCTCACTTTCATGTCCGTCAAGAACACCCTCAACTTCGAATTCGCAGCTTCCCATGGAACTTCGACGCCATATACTGACTGTATGGTCAAAGGAAGCACAGGCTAGGTATTCCCCACTTGGGCTCCAGCTCACGTGACGCACAGTGCGGTCATGCTCCCCCTCTAGGATGGCAATGCAGTTCCATTTTGTAGGACTAGCATCTCTGGCCGATTCCGACGCCTGACTCCATAGTCTAACAGTTGTGTCAGCTGAAGAGGACGCCAAAATGTTGGCTGTCGGGCACCATGCCACGCACCAAACTCGACCTTTGTGCCCCTCCAGGGTAGCAACACGTTCCATATGGAGATCTGTTCGCGGGGCAAAGGACAACATTATAGGTTTCTCATGTGCGTGTGCGTCTGAACCCATCTCTTGATTGGACTACACGATAGACAAAATAGCAAAAAAAAAAAGAGATCTAGATACCATATATTCAATTTAATTAGTAAGAGAGGAATAAATAAAGGGATACCATCGTAAAATAACTATAATGATCACTTGATAGATCATGTTTGTCCCATGTTTTGACTACAAGGGAATATAAAAAACTTAATCGTAATTAGCTAAGATTACACTTAATTCGACATCTTTTATGGGCTTTTATAGTAGAGTTACTTAATAAATGAAGCCTTTAATGATTCATCTTAATAAGCTGCACTTTAAAGCTACTCCCTAATTAATTCTAAAAAACATTGACATGATCCTAGTCCTCATCACTGTCAGGAAATTGGTAAGAACGCACCGAGAAATCCACACCCTCACCATAAAACCTCCCCTTATTTTTCTGCTTCAGCTTGTTGAAGTTTTTCCCCTTTACGCGCATCATCTCTTGGTTTTGTCGCAATACCATATGCTCAGACCCAGGACGATTGTCGCGCAGAGCATCATCATAAAATTCAACTTTAGTTGGATCTATTCGTTGAAAACGGCGGTAGGATCCATCTCCCATACGGTTTGAGGGGCCGCTGCGGGCTCCATTGTTGTTGGGTTCTTGACGTCGCGCATTAAAGGCAGACTCCGTATCTTCCACTGGACCATTCTTCGGCACCTTCTTTGAAGTTGTGGTGGTGATGAGTGCCTCCTCATCAGAACTATCTGATATGGGTGCCCTCTTAGATTCTACACGCGATGCCATTTTAGGAGGAGTCCCTTTTATGCCATGCAGAGGCGATGCATGAATGTTGGATGCATCATCAGCGCGCTTCCGCTTTAGATTAGTGTTGCGTATGAGTGCTTCAAGACTGCTTTGCTTAAACACCTGTTCCCTTTTTGCCTCATCGATTAGCGCAGAGTCTTTCTTAAAGGCCTTGGCAACCGCTGGATAATGGAGAACAAAATACTCCCTAATTAAGGCATTGATAGCAGAGGAAGTCATTTATGAGATAATTTAGCCCTATACACCTGCGTCCTTAACCCTATGCTTGTCTGTCGAGTCAAAAATGGAAGTTCAAGTCTCTACTTATACAGTGGTACAGCATAAGATACGCCATGAAAGAATATATGAGAGAAAAGATGGAATAGAAAGTTTGAACACATTTTGTCGACATAACAAGCCCCAATATGAATAAAGCATAAAAATGGAAAAAAAGACGCAAGAATTGCATTTTTCACTAGACACGGATCGAAATACCGCTCTTGAGACAAGGAAAATTGGAGTCTTTCCAATATTATTCAAGTAATGGGAAGCTGTTGTCTGTGATAATACGTACACAAAAGATGTGTAAATAACATAGACAAGTGAAAATATCAACCTGCCATGCTGATGTCCTTAACTGGTAATACAAACAAATGAACTAAGCCCCTGTAGAATACATCACATGTATCTTCCTTTTACACGACGAAAAAAACTAAAAGACACATGAACAAACGAACCGCTAGATTATGGCACGAAGAAGGGAGGGGATGTGGGATTTAGCTCTATTTAGACCTAGGATAACCCATATCATCCACCTTCCCCTCAGCCCAGGAGGAAAGAAGCACATATGCAGCTGTAAAGACAGGTGGCAAAGAAAACTCGTGGTGTGTACCTTTGAGTGCCTTTTGCACGTTTTCCTTGGATACCCATGCTACACTAAGCAGTTCATCTTGATCCGCCTTCAGCATGGGACTCTTGCTTGCAACAGCATAGTAGCATGCCATAAGCTGTGAAGGAAAGGGCCATGGCTGTGAGCCCGCATAACGCAGTCCTGAAATAATGACATTAGACTCCTCGAATACCTCTCGAGCAACCACATCTTCTAGTGACTCTCCTGGCGAAACATAGCCCGCAAGAATTGTATATATTGGTTTATTTTTAGGTGCTTTGAAAGATTGGTTCTTGCGTTGCGATAAAAGCACATTGCCTCTTCCGTCAAGCACAGCCACAATTATTGCTGGCGAGACCTGAGGATAGTGCACAACACGGCAGAATGAGCACTGCAAAGAGGCACCCAAGTCACGAAGCTGGTTAGCTCCGCCACATTGAGGGCAAAACTTAAACGAGGTCAGCCAATAGTGCATAGACATCGACAAGCCCAGGAGAGGTAACTCGTTTTCATCAAGATGGTTAAACAAAGCGCGAGCGCTTGCCCAGGTACCGGATGCCAGGTAGTCCGGTTTTACGTCCCCTCGACTTGTTACGAAGATATTGCGTTGCCCTTTTTCATCCTTTCCAACGTAGGCTGGATGAGAAAGGTTGATCACAGTTTCCCCTGTTGTCATTTGAATGGGATGCAACCACCTCTTTTCCTTTTCAGTGACAAATATTTTAAAACCGTCAGCCTCACAGACCACAGCATGGGGATTCGCTGTAGACAATAACTTGGATTTCAAAAAGCCATCAAGTTTTCGATCCTTTTCGTGTTTATTTAATGTGCAACTAGCTAAAGGAAAGGTTAGAAATCCTTTGCTTAAAATAGAAGTTTTCATCTACTCTGTAGCTATGGTATTTAACCGCTTCCTTCTGCTGCGCAATTCTTAACAATTGCAGCCACAACAAGATATATTTGACTGATTATCAGTCAACTAAAAGTATTCAAACAGTCAATGTAAATTAAATTTTCATTCCTATTACTTATCAGTGTACAACTATTCCGATTTCAGTTGCTTATTTAATATGGTAACAAGGGCATGCCTCTGAGAAAGGATTGTGAAATATTTGCTAGTTACACGAGCTCCTAGCGTTATGTAGATGAATTAGGTATTGAGTAAATTCAAAAGCAAAATATCGCGTTCATTTTTGAAATAGGCACGTTGAGTATTCATATGAATATGAGAGGATAAGGCATACCAACAGCAACAACGGGTGAACTGATGAACAAGAATCCAAAGAGTTTGTGAAAATGTGTGTGTATTTTTAATGGTTCTGCCATGCTAAAGAAGAAAATAACATGCACAAAAAAAATGGCTTTCGGTACATTAAAAAGGATAAAGCTAGGGAGACTATTCCTAAGAGCCAAGCGCGAAATATAAAAAGAGAAAATATTCTTAGCGTATGATATTTAGGAATGAAATTACAAGGAATAGTTGAATTTGGCCGGTACAAATTCTACATCCAATGGAAGCCATGAATCACGCCATCGTCAACACGCGAAACAAATGGGCATCTACACGCTTGATAATGCGGAGCGGGAGTTGAACTTTAGCATTCATAGTGCTTTCCACCTTTGCAAAAACCACCAGATTGGTCAATAACGCATCAATCCCTAATTCCTAATGACGTGTGCTTATCTTTTTTGTTTGCGGTTAATAATAACGAAACTATTCAAAATTGTATCGAATCGTTAAATTTATCTTCACGTCTTTATTTAACAGACAAGAAAACAGTATAAATATCGCAAGTAGTAGGATCCCACATATACCTATATATATATATATATATAGTATATTATTTTACGCATACATCACT